ACCATAGTTTGTCGAGCTATTTCTTTATTGAAGGACAACTTGATTTCCTCCAGTTGTTTATGATTATAAATAAAATTGCTATAAATATCTATATACCGGTTTTTGTATGGATATAAGTTATCAGATCATTTGGGTAAAAACCTGGGAGCACAATTGCTGGATCATATTTTAAGACTATGTTTAGCTTTATAAGAAACTGCCAAACTGCTGTCTGAGGTGGGTATCTTAGTCCATTTGTGTTGCCATAAAGAAATATCTGAGGCTGGATAGTTAATAAAGAAAAAAGGTTTATTTGGCTTGCAATTCTGCTGGCTGGAAGATCGGACATCTGGTGAAAGCCTCAGGCTGCTTTCACTCATGGTAATAGATGAAGAGTAGCCAGTGTGTGAAAGATCTAATGCAAGAGAGAAAGGAATAAAAAGAGGCAGGAGGCACCAGGCTCTTTTTAACAAGCAGCTCTTGTGGGAACTAATAGAGTGAGACACAGTTATTACTGTGAGGATGACACCAAGCCATTCATAAAGGACTTTCCCCAATTACCCAAACACCTCCCATTAGGCCCCAGCTCCAACACTGGGGATCAAATTTTAACACAAGATTTAGATGGAACAACCATCCAAACTGCGGCAGTGGCTACACAATTTTGCATTCCTATAACGATGAATATGAGAGTTCCTATTGCTCTGAGTACTTGCTAACAACTGATATTATCAGTTTTTAGATTTTAGCCATTCTAATAGGCATATAGTAGTATCTCCTTGTTTCAATTTGCGTTTTCCTAGTGACAAATGTTGCTGGGCATCTTTCATATGCTTTTTTGACATCTGTATATCTTCTTTGGTGAGATGTCTGTTCAGGTCTTCTGCCCATTTTTTTTAACTAAGTTTTTTTTTGTTTCCTTATGTTGAGTTTTAAGAATTATTTTTACATACTAGGGACAAGTTTCTAATCAGATATGTGTTTGCAAATAATTTCTTCCAGTCAATGGCTTATATTTTATTCTCTTAACAATGTCTTTCACAGAGCAGAAGTTTTTAATTTTAACAAAGTTCAACTTATATACAACCATTTTTTATAGAGCATGCTTTTGGTGATGTATCTAAGAACTCATGTTGCTTTTCTCCTGTATTATTCTAGAAGTTTTATAATTTCACATTTTACATTTAAGTCTATGATCCACTTTGAGTCAATCTTTGTGAAAGGTGTAAGGTCTGTGTGTAGGTGTTGTTTGTTTACGTTGTTTTTGCATTTGAGCATTCATTTTTCCAGCACCAGCACCATTTTTGAAGACTATTTCTTTCTCCATTGAATTGCCTTTGTGCCTTTGTCAAAAATCAGTTGACTAAATTTGTCTTAATATAATTTTAACCTGTTTGTGAAATCAATCATACTCAATAATATTTTAATGATACAAATCTAAAAGGCATACATGAATTCTACCAAATTTCAACATTCACTTAATGATGTATATCTTTAATGATCCATTATGAATTTATGATGACCAGACTCTTGCCTGCTTCTTCAACCTCATCTCTTCCTGCCCATTCCAGCCTAATTCCAGCCTCCTGGCAGTCTTTCTGTGTATTTAGTCTTTTCTAAGTCACACTGAAGTTTCACTGGACATAGGGCCTAAACACTTTCTTGTGGGAGACTTTCAATTTGGTTTGTCTTTATGAGCTGAAGAAACCCTAAAGCTCACAATCTTTCCTTTTGTCTTAGGAAAATATGTAAAATTCCTTCATTTTAGCTGTTAAGAAAGTTATACCAGGATCGAAAGTTTCTTTCTTCCAGATGCATTATTCATATTGCAACAAAGGAAAATCACACGTTTATAAAATTCCTATGAGAAGTCTCCTAAACGTGAAATGATGCTGCCTTACTGTTTAATGTTTCTATTTGGAAAACAGAAAGGGATATGATCCTTAGGGCCTTAGATGAGGAGAGGAAATGTCACACAGGATCCATTACTTTCCCTCAAGATGCAGGTTGGTTCAGATCTTACTCATCTCACCTTTAAAATAGTCATCAGAGCCTGCCTGGGCCCAGGTGAGCAACTTCAGCCTAAAGTCCAGGACTCAGCAGGCATGTGGGTAACTCATCATGGCAGAGAATTGAAAGCAGTCTGAGTAATATCTGATTTTTTTTCTTATGTGGTTCCCTGTGGAACCATGTAATAGAGGAAACCTACAAATCTTTTGACTGGTCTCTGTCTCCTGGCAGCTTTGAACTTCCATCTCATAACGTTTAAAGAAGCAAGGTTCAGTTTAGCCCAGACAAATGGCCTGATTTGGGCCAATTCTAAGACATCTTCTCCTGGATAGCTTTTTCCCAGGCTGATTCCTTCCCATCATCCAGATGATTTGAAATATTACCTCCTCACCTGACCACCTTATTTCTAAAACTACCCCTTCATCTAGTCACTGTATTTTACTCATTCATAAGTCTTATCAATTTCAGAATTATTGTGTTAATTTGTTTTCTGACTTTCAAACTCCTTCTCCACCTCCTGCTGGCTTTAGAATGTAAGTTTCATGAGGTCAGGAACCTTGATTGTTTGGGTTATTCCTGGGAACTAGAATGTAGGTCTTTTTTTAAGTTATTGAATAACAGAACAAATGAATAAATGAATGAACAATGATAGATGATAAACCATGCATTTTTTTCCAAGGAACCTAGAATAATTGGGCATTTAGACGTATTAATGAGAAGAATGCATCAAAGAGAATACGAAAATCCTTTCCAGAAGGCATTTACAAGGCAATGATGATGATCACTTTCCTCTCTTACAGTGAAAACAGTGAAATCACTACCTACCTCATGCATTTGAGTATTTCATTAATCTCTCAGAAAGCATACTTTTTTTTTCTTTTTTAGATGGAGTTTTGCTCTTTTCGTCCAGGTTGGAGTGCAATGGCACGATCTCGGCTCACCACAACCTCTGCCTCCCAGGTTCAAGCGATTCTCCTGACTCAGCCTCCCAAGTAGCTGGGATTACAGGCGTGCGCCACCACGCCCCTCCTAATTTTGTATTGTTTTTAGTAGAGACAGGGTTTCTCCATGTTGGTAAGGCTGGTCTCAAACTCCCAACCTCAGGTGATCCGCCCACCTTGGCCTCCCAAAGTGCTGGGATTACAGGCATGAGCTGCCATGCCCAGCCAGAAGCCACACTTTCTAAGCAGGACAAAGATCCAGTAAATAAGGGTCAAAATGGTGCCTCAACTTGTGTTGGGATAAAGTCAACATGCAATTCTAAAGTACATACAAAATATTCAACAACTCTTATGCATCTAATAAAAGATATCATCTAAGAACTGGGTAAGTAACAGGAATAGATTCATAGTCATGTGATGGTTGAGTTGGTGGAAACATTCGAAAGTCAATATTTTAAACCCCATAGTTTAAACAGTAGGGAATGTGTCCAAAAGGGAATATGGCTTGCCCACGTTATACACATATTTATAGGTGGCTCTGGGAACTGTTGAGCACTAGGGAGTAGTTGGAACTTTAATAGCAATTTATTTACATTGTATCAAAATAACCAGCAAATTCAGCAGTAAAAAAAAAAAAAAAAATCAACATCCTTGTTAGTTTGCCATGATGTAGACCCAACAGTCACTTGTTTTGGTAGAGCTCTTTATCAAGCTGAATGTTCCAAACACTCACAATTTTCCATCATAGTAAACAAGTCAGGGAATGCACAATAGTGATAGCTGGACCATCTCATCACTTATATCTAATAAGTTGAGTGATTGCAATCAAACCATTAAGATATACATATTACTTCTTGAATAAATTCTTATTTCTTAGCCTTATTAAAAGAGAGAATATCATTTTACATTACACTATTTCTGAGATTATTATATGTCTTTGACTTATTTAGAAGGACATTGTCATGATGAAGCTATTCATTCTCTTTTAGAGACATCTTTTTATTGGTGATAGAATTCAGGACCTAGTATCCTTAGATTTAGGCAATTGTGCCCAGGAAAAGTGTCAGTCATAACATAATTAATAGCCTGCAAAAAATGTGAGATCTTGTAAGTTGTTTTGGGAATCTGTCACTTCTATAGTGAAAATAAACTCAGACATAATGAAATGATCTTGATGAATCAGAAACATTTCTCTCTCCATTTCATGTCTATTCCATTTTTACAACAGCTTTTGGTTTGATTTAATACATTATTATAGGAGAGAGGGCCCATTAAACAGCTATAGAAAATGAGAAATGTGTTCCTTTTAGGTTTTTATACTTTTTAAATGATATTCAGATGATTTTAATTACTACAAAAGCATTGAGATGTTAATATACTTTAGATGAAAGGGAGGGATACTATTTCATCCATCCTTTTCTGCAGTGAATTTCAACTCTGAGAAAATTATTTCTTTTGATCACTCTGATAGCATATAATAAAAGAACAATAAAACATGTGGCTCAATTACCACTGCTTCTCATCAAGCATGAATTAATGAATATAAAATTATTATTAATTGTTTTTCCTGGCTCCCTCTTCATTGGACAACAATTTTACATTGCTGTATTTTGATAAGCATTTTGTGTTTAACACTTTGTGAACCAGGCTTTAAGAGGAACAGAGGCATGAAATTATTACACAGGAGAATAATTCTTTGAATGTATTAACATTTGGAAAACACATGATAATCTTTTAATCTCCCTAGTTTATCGCAGTTTTCCACAACTGCCTTAACTTCTCTAGAATTCTGCCCCTACTTCCATGTTCCATACATCTTTTTTCTAGAAACAGTTGCTATATGCACATAAAATGGTTTAAAAGTTCAATTTCCCAATGTTAATAATACTAGTTCCTCACATGATTATTACATGTTCAATTTCTTCAGAAAAGTTTCTTAAAAATAAAATATATAGCTTGAGTAGTTAAAAATAAGCTAAACAGTGCAACAGAGAATATAATAGATTGTGATCACTATCATTGACAAAATTAATGTTGGTGAATTATATTTACAAACACTTCACATAAAGATTCTATGTAACTGATAGTTCATTTTATTTTTATAAGCCTTTTGTAAATAGGTGCTATGTAATATGAGTATATATAACATGCTAAAGAACATATCCTTTTAGTCCATAACCATTACTTCTAATAGATTATATGTATACCCAGATTTTCAAATGCATACAAAGAAAATTTAACAAATAATTACATGTAAGCTATACATGTCATATGATTTTACCTGTTACCCATCAATCTGTTTCTGTTTTTAAAACACAGTTTTCAAACACTATGTCTGTGATTAAACAATGACACTAAAGTTAAATTGTTTATATGTCCTACCTAGTTCAATAGGCTTAATAAACACATATGCATACATGTTTCCAAAGAGCAAACTAAAACCTGCTTTAGAATCAGAGAATTTGGGAAGCAAAAGGAACCTTAGAAATCATGTTATCCAATGCCCCTTATGTTACAAATAGTAGCACAGAGATCTGGAAAGTTTAGTGATTTTTGAGGTCTATAAACTTTTTATGTTAACATCTTTCTGCCCAAGTGTATAAGAAAAGTGTTGTTAGTATTTCTTTTGCAGAGGAAGGAAACATATCTTGCTTTCTTCACAGTTCTTCAGGATGTCAATGTCTATGAATCCGAATTCTTAGAGAATAAAAGGTGAGGAAATGAGAAACTTGGTTTAAATAGAAACCACTCACAGCCAGCATATGGAGCAGGGATGGACCTGGCTGGAGTGTAATGCTCACTGCCTATCAGAAGCATCATTCCTTTGACATTGGTATCTGGAACCATTTGAACTTTTTATTGCTAACTCTAACCAGAGACCAGATGGCTCTTTTTATGTGTGTGACCTTATTGAAGACAATTAGATTACTTATGCAATAACAGAATTATTAATTTTGTACAAGAGTTGATCTTCAATGTGAAAGCTTTTCTAGATTACATATTATTAAGATAAAACTTGTAACTTTTAATTCCTTAATGAGTGCTTTTCATCTTGATTTCCTTGTGCCAGAGTTATGGAATCCACTTTGCTGAAAATTAAAAGAAAAAAGACATGCAAATTCCGTACAAAAACAAGCTCATCATTAAAAATTTACAGACAATTATTCACCCAAAGGGCAGTGGTAGATTAAGGATTCCACTTTTCCTTCCACTTCTGAAATAATCACTATGGCTTTTGGTCATACTGTGTATATGATGTACCAGATGCCTAGTATGCATATTTATGAGATGTCTGAGAGTCATCTCCTGACAACTTATATGTACTATAAAACATGCAATGCCTATGGAGTACATATAGGGGAGAAGACACAAAAACTTCTGAGTCTTTTGGTAATCACACCCGCTAAGCCACATCATGAACTCTGGGAGAATAAAAATTTTAGAGCTACCACCATGCACATCAGGACCCATGATACAACATTAGATCATCATAAGATTACTAATTCAGGAAGAAAAGTGAGTATGAGAGCTCTCTGGGGGAAGCAGAACATAGAAGGCAAAGTATGAATATAATTAGGTATGTTCTTGTAATTGATTCTGCAGCCTGATGGAATGTGGGTTTCTGATATTTTTTCAGAGCATTTTCTAGATGTAGTCTCCCAGTAGCTCATTAATATCACACATTTGTCATTAAATTCCATACTTTGGATCCCACGTAGGAGTCCCAAGTGTTCCTTTTTCATTCACCATACCAATAAGACAGCAGGAAAAAGTGCCTTTCACATAGTACTGTTGACCATCTTCTCAATATCATTTTGGTTATTTTATCTACTTACTACTGAATCTAAAAGTAAAATGTGGATAGTAGCTTTTAATAACCAGTCAAGTTTCACAGGACTTAATTTTGCTAATTTATGGTACAATGTGCACATCTCTTAAATCAGCTTTTAAACCTTTCATACGTAGCTTATAAAAAATGTTAGTTAAAAACACAGGTCCTCAATATCCTTTTCTCACATTGCGTATGCTAATTAAGAGTGCAAATTATAGTAACATTGATCTTAGATGGATAAAAAACTTAAATGCTATATTTTTGTAGAATTACATAGAATTAACTAAATTTTCAATTTAAAAGTAATATTCAAAAGCATTTAATGCAATAACCAAATTTAGTTTAAAATTATACAATATTCAAGTGCAAGCATAAAATGTCATTTACGAATATGGACTTCAATTTAAACAATTATGTGAGTAGAGAATATCTTTTTATGTTTGGAAAAAATGGAAAATTGTCTAAAATGAACGACCTTTTGGTTTAGTTGTATCTATATCGAATCTGATACCAGAAGGCAATATAAAAGTTGACTGATTTCACACCATTAAACAAAATACTACCATAGTATAAATATCTGCAGCTGAATTATTAACTAAATATAATTAATAAAATGTTTTACTTTATTAAAATACATCATTTTAAGTGATACCAAATGCTCATTAAGGTTAACAAAAGTGTTAAATGCTTACAGAGTGTAACACTTACCCATAATCTTAGAGTAGCAAGGTTCACAGTGTATTGTCTGTCTATAAATCCAAATACTATCACCCGCTTGTAGATTTTCCAAAGGCCGCTTGCATATTTCACACTAAAGAAAAAATATATATATAAAGTTTCCATTATAAATGAAGTCTAGATTATTAGAGAAATAGACATCATCTCTCTACCATCGAGGCACCTTTAAGGGATGTCTACCACTGAAGTTTTCTACTTCACTCACAGTGGAGTAGATATAAATGTCCAGAAATTGTTTATGCCAAGGACAAGATGACCATTCAGTATCTCAAACAAACACACAAAGGTGCATTTATTATTTGCTAACTTAAAGGAGAGCTAGTTACGCTGTCCAGGCACAACCTAATGGAGAGAAGAAATAAACTGCTGATCTGACTGGGTTTGGGAAAAAGTTTATTTTGAGTTGTGCTGGTTTGAGGTAGGAAAGGGCTGACCTCTGCTTCAGACCTATCCACTGCTGACTGGCTGACTTCAAAGCATGAGGCTGTCACTGATTGGTTGGCTTTCAGAAGCCAATTCATTGAAGTAAACTGTCATTGATTAATTGGGTTTGTCTAAACCAGTTCATGTGGCTCTCTATTGCTATGGCTATAGAAAAAGCAGTATTTTTCTAAGAGAGTGAAGATGTTTGTTTTTATTCTCAGTAATATTTTATTGAAATTACACTGAAAATAGAAATAAATGATCTAAAATGTAATAAATGAAAGTATTTCTATTTACTAAAGGCAATGATCAGGAGAATATTCTTGCTTTAAATTTTTCTGCATAGTAATTTTAATTAAAAAGCTATAAACTAAGTTTTGTTTAATTGAACATATTTCATAACTAAAAAAACTTTGTTCTCATAACTATAAAACCTGCAGATTATATCTTTATATAGAATTCTGTACATTATGCCCTAAAATTGAAATGTTTTGCTCAAAATGAGTTACTACATTTCTGATTGCTATGTGTCACTGTTTGAAAGTAATAGAAATAGAAGCAATCAATTGACAAAGTATTGCATTATTTGACTGGATTTGATCATTTGTATCAACCATAGAATGTTGCACTAGAAAGAAACCATATATTTGACCCATTGTTTCTCCAACTGACTGTACATTAGATTAATCAAGGAGCTTTTTAAAAATACCAATGCCCAATAATTGCCTCTAAGATTCATGATTTAACTGGGGCTGGTCCCAATCATTCTATTTTTTTCCTCATCTCCCCAGATGATTATAATATGCAACCAGGATTCAGATCCACTGGTCTAGTCAACACCTTATCTTACAGTTATGGAAACTGAGGCCAAGGTAATTTAGGTGGTTGTCCAAAGTCACACTGACACAGTTACAGGCAGAGGCAAAACTAGAACTCAGGTCTTCAGACTCCCACTTAGTGCTTATGCAGTTACACCAAAAACAATGATGTCGATCCACCCAATGTTATGGTGAGAATGCAAAGAAGCATCCTATGAAAGCACAAACTATGAAGTTTTAGACTACTAATGAAAACTTTATTATTATTTATTGAGCCACAATTAATTACAACTAATTATGCTCTCAAAAGCAGACTGACATTCACCTATTGTTAAACCCATTGGTCCTAATTTCATAAGGTAAGAAACTGCTAACTTTCTTCTCAACAATTTATTTTCTTGTTTTGATTTCATCACATATTTTCTGTAATGCATAATTTAGTAAAGTGTTGCAAAAACTTTTATAAAAAGAACAAGTGGTTTTTTTTCCCCACAGATTTAAATCTCTAGGGTAAGAGTGAATAAATGTGTCAGTAATCAACTGTAAGTCTAAAGCCAAGATAGTAATTACAAACCTTTGAGGTTTAGGCTGCAGAACTCAGAAATATTTAAGTAGTGTACTATCAATGTGACTGACAGTGCTTCTGAAAGCTTTTGTTTCATCTCATTTATTACATTAAATTATTATTTTTATTCCAGTCATTATGCAATTTTTTATTTAGTTAAGTGAAATAAACACATCCTTACCTTAAAGCAAGTAGAATGGCAGCAAATTTGTAATTCATCTAAAATCATTTTAGTTTCTACACCCAAGGGTTTTCGGCAATAAGTGCACATATCTCTTTCAATGACAGACCTATAGAGATGTAAGCAATTAAAAATAAATTTGCCATAATACAAAAGACAGATATATTCCCTATAAACTCACATGGAAACAGTATGTTAATGTTGATGATACTTTAGAAAATTTCACAAAAATCAAGGAAAGTTTGGAGTTTACTTATTCTAGTAATAGAATTGACTCTTCTAGTTATCTCAAAATGATATCAAATAACTAACATGAGAGAAAGTCTAAAATTATTAATTCATCAGAAATCAAGAGTACAGCTGGGTGGGACAAAGATGCTCAGTTTCCTAATTAGGAAATATCTCAAGTACTCCTCAGAAGTAGTTGAGGGCTTTTATTTATTAATTTACATATATCGTGTTACAGATTACACGGAAAAAATATGCTGCAGATTAATTTTTAACTCTCAAAATATTCAATAGACCCAAAATAGAAATCCATTCAAGAGCACGTAGATAAACTCACAAAATGATGAGTCTGTAGTGCCTGGGACTGTAGGGGCCAGAGTCACCAAAACACTCCTCTTGGTGCCACTGTAAGACTCAGGATATAAGGATCCCTATCGTGACAAAATGTATACCCTTCAGCAAGATATAACCCCACCACAAATTTGATGGGGAAGAAAAGAGAGTTTTGTTTATTAAATAACAAATATTAAATATTTGTTAAAATAATGTTCAATGATAAATGATCTGCAGATATGATCAGCAGAATCCAAAATATCTTGAGTCACACCGGAACCTTAAGAAAGGATCCTTTTCCTTTTGTAAGGTCTTAGGACAGTCTTAAATAGCACCCTGCAGAGTGTACCAGTTTCAGGGTATTAGCATGCAGGCCTGACATTTCCAGAGTAGGATATGTAATGGGATAGTGAAATTAAGCAGCCAATATCTAAATAGTGCTTTTTATGATAAGTGAAGTGCACTTTTCTCTGCACTTTACTTACATAAACTCACTTACTCTTCACAACATTCCTGACAAGCCAATATTATTATTTTTATCATCATTTTATTAAAAAAGAAACTGAGGCACAAAAGGATAAGTAACTTGCCACTGTCATGAAAGCAGTGAGTGGAAGAGTGAAGATGTGAATGGAGGCAGCGTGGTCCTAACACAATGAATCCAAAGATCTGTTGCGCTCATTGTGTTGAAATAAGTTAGTCATACCCAGGAACCGCTAATCTATTACCAAGCCCAGAAGTAGGAGCAAAGAGGAGAGAGAATGGAAGGGAAAAGAAAGTGGGAGAAGAAAGGCATTATAGCAGATAAACTTTATCTAGCTTTATACTTTTCATCATTCTAGTAACATCTTTCTAAGTCTCGTGTATATAAATGAGTATTTTCTGCTTTTATCTGTTCTGTACCCGCTTGCTTATAGCTACCTGGCAAATATTTTCCTATGGATTATCCATAAACACACACACATATGTATGCATACACTTAAATTTCCCATTTAAGACTGTAAGCACTTTAAGAGTAGAAAATAGGTGCTCTATGCCCTTCATGCATTCCGCAGGCACTGATCTAGGCGCTGCAAATACAAAGAGTGGTGAGACAGTCTCCTCTGACAAGATGCTGTTTCCACTGGGGAAACCAGATGCATGATATAATGATCACAGTGGAATACAGGTACGTGGACAGAGTGAGGAGAGCAGAGCCAAGAGAACCACTAACCCCTGGGGTGAAGTCAGGAAAGCCTTGTCAGAAAAAAGTGCTATATGCATTGTTTGAAGAGGAAAGAGCTCTCAAGGTGGGCTTGGTGGGGTAGGGATGAGGGGATGGTAGAGGAATTCCAAGCAGAGTGAACAGAACATACAAAGGATATTCTGCAGGAGCGGGTTCTGAAGGACCACGGAGAATGTGCAAAAGAAGTTGGACTTTATCCCGTTACATGGGAAACCACTTTAAACAGGATTGACCTGCTTAAATAAGAACTGTAAGAACATCGCCAATTTCACACACTATCAACAGCAAAAGGTTGTGGAACTGACTGGTCTCATGGAGAATCGACTTCTGCACTGATGACTAAGAAAAATTTCAAAGCCACTTTAGGAATAGGGTTTAAAGTCTTTCTATTAACAGCAATACTTCTATGGAGAATGTTTTCCTCCCTTAAGTTAATAATTGAAATACAAGCTCAGGAAATGCATTGATGTTGGTATTATCTTTATTAAGATCATACAGTTAGTCAAAGATCTTTTCGAAGCATTATGAAAACCTAACTCTGTTTTTTTTTTTAATTGGTTATCCAGATATTTGTAGTTCTAATGCTGGTGTCGATGAATTTACTACTCAAAGAGGTGTGACTTATAGGCAAGACACTCAGCAAAGCATTGCTAGTGGGCAAAATATTGGAAAAGTGACAAGAAAGGGATATAATTTCGATGTCTGGTTCACCCATGTTTCCCTTAGAAAATGGAACATAGGTTCATGTTCTCAAAAAAAAAAAAAAAAAAAAGTACTAAGTACACATTAGGTACCAAGCACTGTGTTAGAAGCTGAGACTACATAAGAAAATAAAGTATGTCTCTACCCTCAGTGAGTCATATCTCCAGCCCCTGCTATAAAGAAACACCATCAGTGGAACATCAGACATTTGCATGATGGCTTGTTTCCAGGGCTTGAGTTGAAATGCTAATTATTTATTTTCATTTACTTCACTGGAAAGCTGCAGGCCATACTCTCGTAAGTGTCACCTAGGTGCCCCACTAAATGTTAAATGGTAAAAGAGGATCATTAACAGCAAAAACCTGGAATGGGGCCAGTTCACCAGCACTCAATCAATACTCATCATAACTCCACTCCTGGGAACTGAGCTTGGGCCCAGAGTGGGTCACAGCAGCATATGTGCACGGCTGTTTGTAAGCCAAGCAGGTTGCAGAAAAGCACAAGAAGCGGGTGTTGAGCGCGCAGTCTATGGATGCAATGAAGCCTAAACGCTAATAATGTGGCAGCCCTGGGGCCTCCTGGGGATCACCAGGGGCTGGCCTGGGAGGCAGCTGTAAGGCACAGAAAGGTCTTTTGATAATATGCATCAAAATCAGACAGCAGCAACAGCCAGGAAGCCAAGAAACAAATTCCTGGATGCAGAAGTTGTTGTTATTGAGATGCACTTCTGTCCATGCACATACATGACAAGAAACAGCAGCAGAACCATCTCCAAGGACAAAAGACAGCATGAAATATATATATATATATTCGTATATTATATATATACATATACATAAAAATGTGTGTGCATGCATGTGTGTGTGTGTACTTTTTATGTATGGAAATAAAGACATACTCACCTATCAGAAGTTGAATAAACAGTTTGTATGTATTTTCCGGAGATATTCTCCTGATATCCATCCTTGGGTGATTTACTAGGAACAAACATATACAGGCATGTGAGAGTCAGGCAATTTTCCTTATGTAGATAAGAAAACACACTCACAGCATCTCATGAAGCCTCATAATATTTTATCTTTGTGTATGTTACAAGCCAGGATGACGTACTGACACCTTTTTTAATCTGTAGAAATATTGATACACAAGTCACCCCCAAACTGACATATATACCAAAATAAATAGAGAGTAGGGTAAGGAATACAGGAACAAGTGTGAGCAGGAAAAGAAGTCCTCATCTTTCATGAAATTTATACTTGCACCTCATCTGTTTACTAAAGAAAGCTACGCAGAATGTAACGTAGATAAAGAAAATACTCAAAGCACAAACAGGGCAAGCACACAGACACACCATTCACAGGGAGAAACTGAGATTCTTGAACTTTTAGAAAAAGCACCCAACATTTTTATTTTTACTTGAATATATCCAAGAAAGAATAATTTAGAACGAAAGCAAAAGAAGTATGATTTTTAAAAGTCTTCTCTTTTCTATTATGTAGATTGCCCCAGCTTTTAAACACCACTCTTTCCTGGAGACAAATAAAATCTGTAATGTCCTAACCAGCTGGTTCCCTTAATTGCTTCCCAAGCACTTATGCTATCTGGGCATATATTAAGAATAGAAGCAATATGTTTCTTTATTTCATACAATGAGTGATAACCACATGGCCCTCACTTGGGATTTTTAAATGAAAAACCTATCTCTCTCTCCAAATTTCGTGGAGGCAGACTGCCGTCAGAACTAAAATCTACTTTATGAAACCCATAATCCCACAATGCTACCTAAGAATTTGCACATATTTATGTAGGATGTATGTCATGATTCCCATTTTATTGATGAGGAAACTGAGACTGGAAGAGTAACATCACTGAGGCTACATGGTTAGGAAACGACAAAGAAGGATTCAACCTCAAATGTAACTCTAGGGATTCTGTACTGTATCACACTGTCTGTCAATGTAGATTTTAGGGAACTTAAGGATGTCCAAGGTACATCACCATCCTTGCTAGGTTAAGGTACAGGAGGCAACCAATCCTTCCAGAGGCTTCTGGCCAACAGACTATTAGCCTGATATGACACAATATTAATATTATCTTTTTATAATGACGGTGCTAAAACTCAGATGCACATTAGGAACATCTGAAGAGTTTGTTAAAACACAGGTTGCTGGGCCGGAGCTGTAGAGTTTCTGATTTAGCAGGCAGGAGTGAGGCCAGAGAATTTTTATTCCTAGAAAGTTCCCAGGTCATGCTCATGGTGGGGGCCCAGAGACTATGCTTTGAGAATTACTGTTCTATATGTGAACATGATACACATATGTACAGGGTATATACAGTATGTACTTTAAAAAAAAACCATAGTCATCATAATAAAATAAGTATGTTTTAGTCTTGGTACTTCCAGGAATCAAGTTAATATTATTTTATCCAACTATCCTATTAATCAAAAAAATCTAGAGCATGATGTTTAGCAGAATATTCCTAATTCTTAAATAAATTATTCATTATGCAAAAATCAATATTGTGGTTGTTTGGCATTAGTTCCCATAAGAAATTTCTTTAAAAATCAAAATGTATTGATGTGACATTCCGTAAGGATAAAAATGTGAGAGATTATGTAAATATAGAAAAAAAGCCTATGTTATTGTTCACCAATATTTCACACCTTGCCTTTACTATAATACTATTTGATATTACTCATCTTTTTATCAATTTATTTCAGATTCAGTAACTACTTGCTATTTTAAAGTTTACTCTGAAGTGTTTTAAATTTGAGTTTAATTGAAAGACAGCAGAAATCACTGACTTGAACACACCAGAGAGTGAGAATTGGATTAAGGAAAAAATCAATCTTGATGTTGCATTTTGCAAGGTAAATTATGCATGGGTTTGAGAAACCTTTTTTGGAAGATCACTCAGCTCCTGACATGTATTGAATTTCCTGGATCCCCATCACGACTGCCTTCCACACAGAAGGCTGCCTGAATACACTTCTCTTAGACCCCTTTGAAATGGGCTTGTCTTAACATATGGGTCATGTATAGCAGCATTTGTGTGCCCCACCATTATTGTACTCCACAATTGGGACAATTCTTGTTTTATATTCCTTGAAAACCAAATGAATTGTTGAGCCCTGACCTTGGTTTACATTTTCCCCAATATCCATCACTCCAAGCAGCAGATTTCAATTGAAACATCAATATCATACAACTTGGGCCAGGATGCACTACTCAAATTTATACCCCTTATTTTAGATTGGCAGTAAACAACTGTAGATAGAATCAATTAATTCAAGTGGAACTCCAAATTAGTATAGGAATAGTTGTGCATTTTATAAAGCTTATTTTAACCATATAGTTATATACATTTATGTGAGGACTTTCAAATGGCAACCCTATTATGTATACATGTGTTATATTAAAATATTATTGAGTTCATCTAATGACTACAATTATTTATAGCCCAAGTACATAATATCAGAAACATTATAGAGAATTATATATGTAGGACTCAGTGTACTCATAAATGGTCTTCTATTTGAAAGAAGCACACCCTAAAACAATAGCATCTCTTATTAAACATAGATCCTTTCAAAATTATAAAATGAAGCAAAATATTTGAAATAAATTTTGAATACCTATTCTCCACATATGTCCTTGTGTACACAACAGTATCCTTTGGTCCTGCCTGCTTGGCTCCAGTGTTAGTGCTGCAAAACAAATCATTTTACTTCATGTTTAAAGTTTATTTGCAAGGATAACATAAACAAGGCTATTTTCCAATTCAAAGCAAAATGTAATGCATATATGTTCCTTCTGAGCTATAATTGTTGAAACATCAATGTTAGAGTGGTATTAATACAGCACTGCAAAAATGTTTTATCTCCCATTTTGTTTTTAACTTCCACTGTCTTGGTTTACTTCCTAAGTATTGTTACAAAACTTGATCACTCGGTAATTCTTTTATAGAACATGAGGATTATTTTTGAATATTTGTGTAATATGTTATAGTGTCTCTTTCTTTGATGTCTCATTCATATTTCCAAACCATAACTTTCTTCATGAACCTCAAACCAAAAGTAGACCTTAATTAGCTATCATGACAATATCTGATTTAACCAAGCCTTTAGATCTACCTAAAGAATGTCACACTAATGTCACAATCATGCTTTTTTAAATTGCAGACTTTTTGAGGGAAAATCACGTTTGATACTTTCCTACCAGATATCACACAATGACACATTCATGAACTTATTTTTTTGTGTAAAGCTGTTTATACAGGTAACCCCACATAAAATTAGAAATTTCTGCATTTCAAAGAAAGGGTCAAGTCGGGTGTGGGGTATCTTTATAAAACAAAAGGAGAATAGTCCTGTCGTTTATTCTGCAGTTGGCCACGGTACCTGAGATTGTTCCTGGCTTCATAAGAATGGGAAGCAATTCTTGTGGACTGGTTGTGCAGAGGATTGGTGAACTCGTTGACTTGGGCATCTAGCCTGATAAAGCAAACACAAGTATTTGGCACTTCAAATCAAGGTCACTAGAAGTTTTTTGTGTTATTAAAATTCTTCTCAATTAACATTATTTTACAATGTGAATCTTTTTGTGTTTGCCTGGCTTCTGCACAGATAACACAAATAGAATGCATGTACTATTTTACTCCCTCTATGGAAACCTCTGCCTTACCTTTAAGAACAATCTGTAGGTATGTGCCACATTAGCTAACATTGCTCTTTTTTTTTTTTTTTTCCGAGACGGAGTCTCGCTCTGTGGCCCACGCTGGAGTGCAGTGCCGTGATCTTGGCTCACTGCAAGCTCCGCCTCCTGGGTTCCCGCCATTCTCCTGCCTCAGCCTCCCGTGTAGCTGGGACTACAGGCGCCTGCCAGCGCACCCGGCTAATTTTTTTTTTTTTTTTTTTTGTATTTTTAATAGAGATGGGGTTTCACCGTGTTAGCCAGGATGGTCTCCATCTCCTGACCTCATGATCCGCCCCTCTCGGCCTCCCAAAGTGCTGGGATTACAGGCGTGAGCCACCGTGCCCGGCCTAACATTGCTCTTTTTATCAAGGACAGAAATCATCTGAAATTGGTTTCTGTAACATTTTCACACCAGCAATGCCATTATAGAAAGTTTCCCATGTATAATATATCTAAGAATTTATCAATTGAATGAAAATGATCCAGGGGTTGCTTTGAGAAATTCCAGTCTTCATTTTGTTTTTAATGGAAGGCAATATCTTGAAGATGGCAGAAGAACTCTGACCTAGATTTCTGCTAATCTAAAAATGTCATGATACTCAACAAAATGTAGGCATATGCGCTTTTTCCTATGGAAGAGAGGAGATTCTTAATGCAAAAATAGAGAAAATTTTAGCTCCTTTTGCTCCTCCATGTTAATAAACTCTGACATAGAAGAGATATGAAAACCTAAATGAGAGTTTAGGTCTTAATGAAGCCTTATCATTCTCAAACAGGCTGATTTCCAGATAGCTCTTAAAGAAGAGGAAAGCATTTGTTTACATATTATCTCTGGCATACAGAAAACCATCTGGTTTTAAGGCAGATGTTTCACAAAATATCCACGTAAGTTAAAATTTTACTAAGTGATGAGAAGGTGGAATTAATATTATTAGGTTTTCTAACATGATTACTAGAGTATGTCATCCCAAGAATCATAAACCTAGCTAAGAATCGTTTGAAAATGTTCAGATCATATAATATACAATACAAAACCCAACTTTAACAAGTAGAGAGCTTCAAAGGACAAAGATTATCTATGAGTTTGAAATGCATTTGTATTGTCCTCAGCAATAGAATATTAATTTTAGATCTTTCCTGCTTTCTCTTATAGGCATTTAGTGCTATAAATTTCCCTCTACACACTGCTTTAAATGTGTCCCAGAGATTCTGGTATGTTGTGTCTTTGTTCTCATTGGTTTCAAAGAACATCTTTATTTCTGCCTTCATTTCGATATTTACCCAGTAGTCATTCAGAAGCAGGTTGTTCAGTTTCCAGGTAGTTGAGCGGTTTTGAGTGAGTTTCTTAATCCTGAGTTCTAGTTTGATTGCACTGTGGTCTCAGAGACAGTTTGTTATAACTTCTATTATTTTACATATGCTGAGGAGTGCTTTACTTCCAACTATGTGGTTAATTTTGGAATAAGTGCGATGTGCTGCTGAGAAGAATGCATACTCTGTTGATTCAGGGTGGAAAGTTCTGTAGATATCCATTAGGTCCGCTTGGTGCGGAGCTGAGTTCAATTCCTGGATATCCTTTTTAACTTTCTGTCTAGTTGATATGTCTAATGTTGACAGTGGGGTGTTAAAGTCTCCCATCATTATTGTGTGGAAGTCTAAGTCTCTTTGGAGGTCTCTAAGGACTTGCTTTATGAATCTGGGTGCTTCTGTATTGGGTGCATATATATTTAGGATAGTTAGCTCTTCTTGTTGAATTGATCCCTTTATCATTATGTAATGGCCTTCTTTGTCTCTTTTGAACTTTGTTGGTTTAAAGTCTGTTTTACACTGTTAGTGGGACTGTAAACTAGTTCAACCATTGTGGAAGACAGTGTGGCGATTCCTCAAGGATCTAGAACTAGAAATACCATTTGACCCAGCCATCCCATTATTGGGTATATACCCAAAGGATTATAAATCATGTTGCTATAAAGACACATGCAGACATATGTTTATTGCAGCACTATTCACAATAGCAAAGACTTGGAATCAACCCAAATGTCCATCAGTGACAGACTGGAGTAAGAAAATGTGGCACATATACACCATGGAATACTATGCAGTCATAAAAAAGGATGAGTTTGTGTCCTTTGTAGGGACATGGATGCAGCTAGAAACCATCATTCTCAGCAAACTATCACAAGGACAAAAAACCAAACATCGCATGTTCTCACTCATAGGTGGGAATTGAACAATGAGAACACTTGGACACGGGAAGGGGAATATCATACACTGGGTCCTGTCGTGGAGTGGGGGGAGGGGGGAGGGATAGCATTAGGAGATCTACCTAATGTAAATGACGAGTTAATGGGTACAGCACACCAACATGGCACATGTATACATATGTAACAAAGCTGCATGTTGTGCACAGGTACCCTAGAACTTAAAGTGTATATATATATATATATATATATATATATATATATACACAGAATATCAAAAATCACCAGTTTGCAAAATCCACAAACAGGAGAGATAAGTGATTTGCCAACAGTACTGTTATGGACTGAGATGTATTCCCCCAAAATTTATATGTTTAAGCCCTAACCTTCCACATGACTACATTTGGAGACAGGGTTAATAAGGAGGTAATAAAGGTCATCTGTGGTTCCACAGAACTGGAATCCTCATAAAAAGAGGAAGAGCTACCAGAGATGTCTTTTCTTCTGTGTACAGAGGAAAGGCCATGAGAGTACACAGTGAGAAGGTGGCCAGCTGCAAGCCAGGAAGAGAGGCCTCACCAAAACCAATCCTGATAGGATCTTGCTCTTGGGCTTCTAGCCTCCAAAGCTGTGAAAAAATAAATGTCCATTGTCTAAGCCACCCAGTCTGTTGTATTTTGTTAAGGCAGCCCACGCTGACTAATACTGGTATCTTTTCCCAGTTGTGTTTATAATGTGATTAATGACAATGACTTTGTGGAATATTTAATTTTTAGAACTGTGAACAAAAACCAAATGCTAGGTTTGTAATGTGGTACAACAAACTCTTTGATGGATTTTGCTCCTCATGTAGACTTTGAGGATGATAATTTAAACAAATAAACCATTATTTTGGAGTAACTTTAAATGTACAGAAAAATGGCAAAGATAACACGGAGAATCCCTGTACACCTTCACCCAGATTCCCTTAAGGTTAATATCTTATGTAATTATAACAGAGTTGTCAAACCTACAGAATTAATATTTGTACCATACTGTGAACTAAACTACAGATTCTATTCATGTTTCACTGGTTTTTCCATTGGTGACTTTTTTCTGTTTCAGAATACAATCCAGGATACCATATCTACATATCCATCATGTCTCTTTGGCTGCCTAGGGTCTGTGATAGTCTGCCAAGTCTTTGTTTTTCATGGGATAGTAATAGATTTTATGACAGAAATGTTATCTTAACGACAATTAAGTTGTAAGACTAATTTTTTGTTATTTAGAACCATAGGAATAGAGTTGGGGAGACAACACTTTGGCAACCAACAAAACAGCCCATAGTGCCTTTTAAAATGCTACTGGGCCCCATATCCAGATATTTTAATTTAACTGGTTTGGGGTACAGCTTGGTCACTGGGAACCTTTAAAGCTTTCCAGTGAGTCCCTTATACAGTCAAGGTTGAGAATCACCGCCTTAGAGGTTGGGAAGTCCAACATCTTACTCAAAAGAGCATTGATTCTCAAAGTGTAGTCCCTGGAATAGCGAGTGATTCAGATGTACCCAAAAGTTTGAGAACCAGTGTAATAGAAGAATCTCTGCCAAATTATTCCTCTCAAATGCCTTGAATAATCTTTGTAAAGGAGAATTCATGACTCATAGCATATGTCACTTGACGGCTTAATTGTTAGGAAGTTATCCTCCATTGAAACAAACTGCTGAATTGTAATTTCCAATCAATGGTCACAGTTTTGTTTCTTAATTAAGCAATGACTCTACAAATACAAACCCAAACATTGTATTGAATCTTATAGAATTCCAAATGGATTTACACTTGAGAAAATGTTCCCTGCAGTGGAAATTCACCTTGAAAATTTACCTAAAACCCTCATACACTGCATATGAGAATATAAAATGATATGGCTGCTTTGAAAGCAGTCTAGCAGTTCCTCAAATGGTTAAACATAGAATTACTCTACAATCCATCAATTTCATGCGTGGTATATACCTAAGAGAAATAAAACACATTTTCACACAAAAACTCATATACGAATGTTCATAGCAACATTATTCACAATAGTGAATTAAAACCCAATATTGAAACAATCCAAATGCCATCAGGTGATGAATTGATAAATAAAATTGTCTGACCACCTTATCATTATATGATTTGAAAAGTATTACAGTCCTTAAAATCTGTGAAATGGCTCTATGAAATTAATTTCACTCACAGTCACAAACCATTTAGTTTAGGGAAAGACTTTATCATTTAGAATTGAAATAAAAATACTTAAACTTATTCCTGTTGAGTCTCAGAAAAAAAAAAAAAAACCCAAAACTAAAGCCTCAGAAGTAGCCTCAGAAACAAAAGTTTTTCCTTGACCTTCTCCTGCCCTCCTATCTCAGTCTCATTCTCCCGCAAGGATAGCCAAAGAAACTAGAATCCCTCTTCCCCAAGGCAAGTCATACAAACCAAAACCCCTTTTCCCCAAAGCCAGCCGTAAAACCTAAAATTATTACTCTACCTATCCCTTCACCTTTCTTTCTACGTAAAAACTGGCCATAAAGAAATTATCTGACATCCCTTGTTTGACTGTAGGTCATAAGACCCCCATTCCAGAATGATTCTGCCCCATGCCCAGAAGGAAGGAATGCATGCTCAAGAGGTTAAGAAGAATCCAAGGACACAGGCCTTGCTGGCTTTCCCCATTCAGTCTGTTGCCATTAGGTCATATTCTTTTTGTCCAATCATATTTCTTCATGGCTTTCTGTACTTTATTGAACCTAAGTATTAAATGGACAATTTCCCCTATATCTTTGGGTCTTCATTCTGAAGGCTCCCATCACAGGTTAAATAAATTTATATGCCTTTTCTCTAATTACTCTGCCTTTTGGGAGTTGATTTTTCAGCAAAGCTTCAGAGGGCAAACTGGAACTTTCCCCTTTGCTCCTACCTTCTTAACAAATCAGATTAGAAAACATATATTTGCTTGCGCATCCAATTATGATGTACAGTGAATACATTCATAAAATGAATCACGTCTCAGTTTAGCAGATTTTCCTGGGATGCTTATTTAGATTTTTAATTTGATTCATTAAAGTACCTGAAGAGGTAGAATAAGCTGAAGTTACAAAGTAGCCAAAACTGAGAGGCAACACAAAATTTTGGTTATCAAACAGAAGACGAGCAGAGAATAAGGAAGCCAATAGGTACAGGGAAGGACAGGAAAAAGGTGGACAAAATCCAATACTCAGTGACTAGCTGAGTTGCATTAGTGACAACGAACTCTAGTTAATGTCCAAGGGTTCCAAACTTCTTTAGGTCAAGAATGAACAATATTCCAAGTGAGATCTTTCTGAGGCCTGGCAAAGCCACCATTCCTGCTCTTGAACTTCCATGAAATTCCATTTCCTCATTAATCCCTCTGATAAAATCCCATTTCATTAACAAGTCCAATGGAACTGGAACACTTCTTAAATTAAATGGGAAATTCCTTAATTATACTTAATAATTTACTTGTAATTTTTTTTACCCCAATCACTTTCAAATAATACTTGAATGAGATTAGTTTAAGTGTAAGCCCAGTCCTATTCCCAAAAGAATTCATGTATTTCCAGGATAAGCAGATTCTGCTGAAAATTTATCCTCCCTCATTCTCTCAAAGACTTTCTCAAGGTCACAAACAGAAGGAAGAAGATGATTTGGGGAATTAAAGGAATGGAAAGAAACTATCTACCTGTGGAATTGAGGAATCTTTTATAGACAATATGAAAAAGAAAAGCGAGCCAGCTCTTTTGCTAGCTTTTCCATTCTCTGCAGATGAAATCAACAATATCGTTTCTTTACATAAAAAAATTAATACAAAAGGCAACTGCACCTTATGAAGCTGAAAATAGTAAGCTATTGTGTTTAGTATTCCCTCATATATAGGGGTAAGAATTGCTAAACATGGAAAAGTTAATTTTTCCTAAAGTATACAGTCTGTGACAAAAATGAAGTATAGCTCCTGTCCTAACCTTTCTTGTAATGGCCAATAAGGTGTCACAGTTTTAAAGCTATTATACCCTATGGTGTAAAGAAATTTCAAAATTAGCTCCTGTTTTGTGGCTGTGATAAATTCATGCATTCTTTTAGCACTAGGCATCCAGGGAAGAGATTCCCAGAGTGCTTTCTGCACTGCTGAGAGCTTACCAAGCAACAGTAAGTAAAAATAAATCTTCACAGCCCCAAAGAGCTTTGAATTTCCATGATGCCATTTATACTAAGCAATAGAACAGCAGGCCCTGAGTCAGAAATTCTACAGAATTAGAATTATGTTAATTTTTTCACTATTAGCTATTAAGCACCACATAAGTTTTTGTATCTGGATTATATATATATACACACACACACTATTCAAATTATATATTATATAATGTATAATATTATATATCTAATCTTCTAAGGCTATACAATATATGCAGATGCATATGGAATTCATAAGAAAAAAGTGAATTATAATAAACTTTACCTTACATTGTTGTTTTCAGAAACATGAGAATTTACTTCAATTAATTTTTCCAAGTTCTGGTCTCTAAGGAAAAAAAATATGTTATTTATATATACATGTATATATGATTTAGTTACAACATAATGACAGGAAATAAGAAAATACTGAAACATCTAAAAATCAGCACATAATCTTAGACACAGTCATTTGTGACCTATCAGGCTATGGGAGATTGAATATCTGACATTGAGCTATTTGATCCATACAACTCATGGATCGAACATGGAAGTATGGATTACATTGTGAAAGAGAAATAAAGAACTAACTTTTTGGAAGGTTTGGGAAATCTGATCTGAAAAGAAATCAATAATTTTTATTCACATTCAGTTCATTTTTCTTTTTTCATTGATGTATAATAGATGTACATAGTTTCGGGGTACATGTGATGATTTAATACATTCATATAATTTGTAAAGATCAAATCAGTGCACTTGGGCTATCTATCACCTTAAATATTTATCTTTTCTTTATGCTAGAATCATTCAACATTTTCTCATCTAGTTATTTGGAAATGCATAATCAATAATTGTAAACTATAGTCATCCTACTGATCTAATACTACGTCTTATTTCTTTTATCAAACTGCATATTTCTACCCACTAATCAACTTCTTTTCAGCTAACATTTAATGAGTATTATCTCTGTGTCATGAAGTACTAACTGTGTTTTCACATGGATTATCTCATTCAGATCTCACAAAATCCTGCAGAACAGTATCTGGATCTCAGAAAGGCAAAGTCAGTTTTCCAAGGCCAATTAACTAATTTTCGGAAGAGTCAAGATTTGAGATGATGCCATCTGCCCACCTGAAATCAATTCTTAGATGTTTACCCAGAGACCTTATTTAGGCTTTGGGGATCACAGAAACAAGGGAAATCAACTCAAAATTTGAATAAATAATTCATTATGTGGGGGATAAATGGAGTGATTTGATTCTTATATCTTGGGCTGCATTAATGATTTGACACCCTTTCATGAGACACAGGATCCTCTGATATGTTATTTATATATTAGGTATAACATTGATAGTTCTTTTTTTTTCTTTTTTCATGAGTTACGAAAAGTCTTTGTCATAGGGTAGGAGCACTGTTTAGAAGTCAAAACAATGAGGCCCAGTTTTTTCCTTACTTCTGTGAGCAAGTTAGCCAACCATTCTAAACTTCATGTTGCATATTAGTCTGTTTTCACGCTGCTATAAAGAACTGCCTGAGACTAGGTAATTTATGAAGAAAAGAGGCTTAATTGACTTACAGTTCCATATGGTTGGGGAAGCTCTAGGAAACTTACAAGGAGAAGTAAGTACCTTCCTCATAAGGCGGCAAGAGAGAGAGCCAGGGGGAACCAAAACTACTTTTACACCATCAGATCTCGTGGAAACTCACTGACTCTCATGAGAACAGCATGGGGGGAACTGTCCTCATGATCCAATCACCTCCCACTAGGTTCCTCCCTTGACATGTGGAGATTATAATCTGAGATAATATTTGGGTGGGGACACAGAGCCAAACCATATCATTTGGTAAAGAAGGACACTAATGTCCAAACTCACACAATTGTGGTGAGAACGAGTAAGTTAATGTAAATAAAATTCATGGCACAATGATATGGTTTGGCTGCATCCCCACCCAAATCTCACCTTGAATTGTAATAATCCCTATGTGTGAAGGGTGGAGCCAGGTGTAGATAATTGAATCATGGGAGTGGTTTTCTCCACACTGGTCTTGCGGTAGTGAACAAGTCCTAAGAGATCTGATGGTTTTTTAAATGGGACTTCCCCTAAACAAGCTCTCTTGCCAGCCACCACGTAAGACATGCCTTTGCTCCTCCTTTGCCTTCCACCATGATTGTGAGACCTCCCCAGCCATGTGACACTGTGAGTCCATTAAGCCACTTTTTATTTATAAATTACCCAGTCTCAGATACGTCTTTATTAGCAGCATGAGAACAGACTAATACACAAACAGTGACTACAGTTGTGGGTGAATTGAAAAAGCATAAAAAAAAAAAAAAAGAAGTGCAGTGATTCTGCAGTTGGCACTATTGATTCCACATTTTGAGAGGCCACTTTCACATTTTTATTTCTGTCCTAAATTGTCACATCTTTGGAATTAACTCTGTTTTTAAAAATCTCCCCTCTCATGGTCCTAAATAGTCGGTTCAAATAAGGTTATTATACATGGAATCAGTATATACTCTCACTCACAAATATTGATAAAGATGCAAAATACGGTAAAACGTTCTCTTGTTTACGTGGGGTGAGATTTAATACTCTTTTTACGTAACATCCAAGCTGTCAATATTGGTATAATATGCAAATTCGCAGCATTCCCTAGCTATACTTAAGCCTCACATGTAAAGCACTAACTGCATACTTTTGAAACTGTAGAAAATAGGGTAAATTACTTTTTAAGTGAGTTACAGTGGAACTATGCCAATTAATGTAGGTAAAAAGTACTAGGTTTCAGAAGTAGCTCGGAAGTATCAAATTATTGGCTCTGCAGTCCGAACGATGTAAAATTCAAAACTGAATTCTTCTACGTAACTGCAAGAACTGAGTAAGATAATCTACTATCCTAAATCCTGCAAACTGAGAAATAGTGACTAGAGTCTTTGGATTTGCCTAATCCTTGATGGTCTCTACTAATTACTAGAGCCATCTTCTTGGCATAAGGGGCCACTAAACTATTTTAACAACCTTAGCCATTAAGAGATCTTTCCCTTAATGTTTTAAGTAATACTTTACTAAATATTTGGGGATAGTGGAATAAAATTAAAGGGAGTATCATGGTATTCCATGATCCAGTTTCCTAGAAATGTCAAACTGGGATGGTGGGCAGTGGTAAATAGTGGAAGATCATCAGGAGGTGTGAATCTTGGGCAATTAGAACTTTGTTTCTCAAAGTGTTTCCCCCTCCAGTGCTAATGCTGGAGGAACTGAGTGCTAGTTTTATAGGGAAACTGGTGGCTTTCATTACAACTTGAGAGTAGGGTCATATTATTATGGCCTAATATGGCCTTGCACATAGTAGCTGCTCCATAATTTAATTTAATTCCACAAATTAATTCCATTTGTGGAATCAATTTAAATTATTAATTTAAATTATCTTTTCTTTTTTGGGGAAACCTCTTACAACCTTACCCAGCTCTGAGAAAAGATATTAAAGGAACCCCAAGGGAAAGTATTAGCCTAGACCATGAACCTTTAAGATTGTCTGGTCTGTCTATATCTAGGGACATAGTATCCACCAAATTCATGTGGAAAAAAGACCAGTAAAGCCAGTTATGGACATTTCACCTCCATCTCTGTCCATCACCCAGCACCTGCCTTACTTCACCCCTGAATGCACATATTATATTTATTTCCTTTTTGCACAGCTCCCAGTCCTGGCTTTGTTTCATTATCTTTGGAGCTTGTTCTGGGTTGAATTATATACTCCCCCAAATTCATATGTTGAAGTCCTAACCCCCAATACCTCAGAACATGACCTTATTTAGAGATAAGCATCCTTAGAGGTAATCAAGTTACAAATAGTGTCTCTAAGATGAAATTTGGACTCAGACACACACAGAGGGAAGACAAAGTGAAGACATAAAGTGAAGACAGTTTTCTGGCTGGGCGTGGTGGCTCACGCCTGTAATCCCAGCACTTTGGGAAGCTCAGGCCGGTGAATCATGAGGTCAGGGGTTCCAGACCAGCCTCACCAACATGGTGAAACCCCGTCTCTACTAAAAATACAAAAATTAGTTGAGCGTGGTGGCAGGTGCCTGTAATCCCAGCTACTCAGGTGGCTGAGGCAGGAGAATTGTGTGAACGGAGGAGGCGGAGGTTGCGGTGAGTCGAGATCGCACCATTGCACTCCAGTGTGGGTGACAGGGCTAGACTCCGTTTCAAAAAAAAAAAAAAGAAAGAAAAGTGAAGACAGTTTTCTACAAGCCAAGGAGAGAGGCCTGGCACAGATATTTCTCTTTTGGCCTGAGAAGGAGCCAGCCCTGTGGAAGGAACCAACCCTGCTGACAGCTTGATCTTGGACTTCTGCCCTCCAGAACTGTGAAACAACAAATATTTGTCTTTAAGCCACCCAGTCTGTGGTAGTTTGTTATGCAGCCCTAACAAATAAATACAGGTTTACTTCTACCCTCACAATGTGATTACATGTATTTTCTCAGCCTTATGGTGGACATCCTCAACTCCTCCTGGCTTTGAACTCCTGGCTGCTATAGATACTGCCCACATGCTGCTCAACCTCTTTTGTACCTTAGTTTTCATGAGAGGGAGAAAGAATGGGTTTGGATCTGAGAAAGGAGAAGAAGCCAGAATCTTAAAAATCCAACAACTACGGACAGATAACTCAAAATTGCAACCTATGCATGCCTTCAAAGAAACACATTTCCAAAGAGGAAATACAGTTGCAAATCACCAAGTAAACTATATTATTATTTGTTTCATAACATTTTTCTTATTTTATTAAACACTACCACCTATCAGGTTTGGTAGAGTAATATTTATTTATTTAAGGCTAGTCAAGTGAAGCAGTGGAAGTGGAAAAGGAACAAAGAAATCTATAACTGGTGTGAGCAGTTAGGAGTAAACACCACTGCACTCAGAGCAGCCAAGATTTTACTCTGAATAATCTATACCAATATTTAATGCAAAATAGAAAGTTCCAGATGAAGAAAAGTACAAAATGTGTATTTACTTTGGCTATTCACTCTGATTGATGCCATCAGCTACATTTGAAGATCCAGTAAAAGAAGCACAGACTGCTCATAAGCTTTCCAAGTTAAAGGAGATAAAAATAAATTTTTGTTCTTTAATTAAGACCACATCAATTGCATGGTGACTTTTACACTTGGTATAAGATGAAGAACTGTGAGTCAAGTGTGAAAAATAGATTTTTATAGAAATGCAACCAAATGCTGCAGGGTTAAGCAGAGGCTTGATTCCAATCCCCTTTCATGGCAGTGGCATAGAAGGCAGGCAGACCTTAAAATATTATACGTTGATGGACAGGTGGAATTAATTCTAAGAAAATCACCAACTTTCTGTAGTTACAGAAAATTGTTGAAGAGCAAATTGTTACTGACTATTGCAACTAATAATGTTTTTTGTTTGTTATTTAGAGACTGGGGTCCAGCTCTGTCTCCCAGGCTCGAGTGTAATGGTGCTGTCATAGCTCACTGCAGCCTCGAACTCCTTGGCTCAAGCAATCTTCCCGTCTTAGCTTCCCAAGTAACTGGGACTACAGGTGCATGCCATCACACCCAGCTAAATTTTTTTTTATTTTTGTAGAGACAGGGTCTCACCATGCTGTCCAAGCTGGTCTCAAACTCCTGGCCTCAAGCCATCACCTCACCTCAGCCTCCCAAAGTACTGGGATTACAGGTACCTGGCCTAATAATGTTTTTTAAATGTAGATTTCAGAATATTTGGGGAGAAATATGAGTTATCTATGACATAAAGCCACAGGACAATTTTTGAGTAATTTATCCATGTTATAATAATGTCATTTATTTTCTACTACCACATCAAAAACTATAAACTCTCTTACAAAGCAGGTGTAGGAAAAAAAATAAGAGATTCTGGAGACCCAGGAATTACGTCTTTTACTATACAACTTTTCCTAGGAGAAGCTCTGCATATGAGAAAGTTATTAGCCCACTCCTAACTGTTCTTCCTTTCTCATGTGGGTGTGGGAGGTATTTATTAATAGGCAGCAATATGTTTCTCACCATACAGCTCATTTAAATTGCTTTTGTAGAGTATCAAACATATTTACAAAATTAAGAGTCTTCATATAAAAAATGTACTGTGGTATTCCTTTTATGCCAGGAACTAAATCTTAGGCATTAGGCGTAAGTTCAAAAGGAATATCTGTCTTTCTGAAAGGAATAGAGAATACAGTGAGAGAACTGGTATAATTCCTCAACTTATTGACATAGCAAAACGGGCCCAACTCTTTATATTTTTACATATTTTTATAATTCTTTTCAGTGAGAGAGTCTTAAAGATTTTGTATTAAAGAAATTAACAGGTCCATAGAGCAGTTAGGCAATTCAGGTATTTTAAATATAAAATGTGACCAAGAATTTCAGTGGCTCCAATTCACTATTGTTTATTGAGATTATGTCATGAGCAAAAGATAGTCATTGGCTCAAGCAAGGAGACCAGTCACAAGAAATCTGATTCTTTTCATTTGATTTCACTCATAGGGGCTCAGAATGTCACAGCTGGAAGGCTAGACTTTCTCTAAGTGGACTATCACAAGACATTGATGAGGTTGAGATTTATCCTTTAATTCGGTATTTGCTAAATACTTAACATGTGCCAGGCATTGCATTATGCACTATGGATAAAGAAATAAACAAGGCAGACCCAGTAGTTACCCTTAAAGACCTTCTAGTCAAAAAGGGATGATTAAATAATAACTCTCTTGAAGAGACCAACATTATGGGACAGAAAAGACAGATCGAGAACATCTAGAAGAAGCATCTGATGCAGACGTGGTGGGTTAGAAGGGCTTCCCAGAGCCTGAGTGAGAGACACCTAAGCGGATACCTAAAGGATAGGTAGAAGTTAGCCAAGCAATAGCGATGAAGGAGGAGTGAGGAGTATGCAAGTTAGAGGGTGTGTGTGGGTGGGGTTTGCTTTTGGGTGGAGAATGATAATAGACTGGAGTGGGAAAGCCCATAGATGCCAGATCATGGTGGGCTTGGAGACCAGGTTAAGGAGGATCATGGCCATTATGCAACAGCAATGCGGAGCCACAGAAGGAGTTTAATCAGAATGACATGATCAGATTTGTGTCTTAGGAAAACCACTCTACAGGGTGGCAAATGGATTGAAGGGCAGAAGGGGAGATTGGCAGCAGAGGGGCAAGTTAAGAGGCTGAACAATAATCTGGACTACAGAACCAGTGGGTATGATGAACTGTCTTGGACCACTCCCTGAGATGAGGTGATGCATCCAAAGTGATTGATTGATTGATTATGGGGAATGAAACACCAGAAAGAATCAAGGTTGTCCCCAAGTTTATGTTAACAGAAATATGAAAAATATGCAACAGGTAGTTAGGAAGGAACTCTTCTCTTTGGAATACTAAAAACTTGGGGATGTCTTAACAAATAGGAAATCCTTAAGAAGATGGAAGTATAATGCCACAAACAGTTAAGACTATTTTTTTTCTACTTTAGATGAAGGATGCCTTTTCTAACTGTAGAGACGGTGGTGTCACTAGATGCTTTTCAATATTCATTCAGGAGCAGATATTTAGCATTTTAATAATCAGTCTAACAACAGTTTATAGGCTACAGATAACTGAATATCTCTCTTTGATACTGGTTAATGAAAATGTGAAACTGTTACTACCAAAAGTCATGCAAATTCTTACTGACTAAATGAAAATTTTGTGCACATCTGTATTTTTTCCTAGAAGAAGTTCAAGGATGCCTGCTTACATTCTGATCAATGGCAGTAGTTTATTCAGCCCCTAACTATGAATTAAATATACAGCTGCTGGAAATGTCAGCAAAGTCAGATGAAAGAACTCTGATTCACGGCTGTTACACTATTAAATAATCAGTGCTTATGTCACATTGAATTGATGTAACAGTGCCTTGTGACTGTTCTTCCTACTGAGAGGCACTTTTAAAATGCTCTCCTTCATAGAGGGCAGAATGGATAGATTATAGATACGGGTGGCTGAACCAATTGAATGAAGTCGCTTTTTTCAAATAGATGGTTCAGTCTTTCCTGTTTGTCTGCTTTGTGATAAATCTTGAACATCCCAGCTGATTCTCATCATATCTGTCATACTACTAAAGAATAATTAGACATAGGTTAGGTTAGATTTGTGAATCAAGCCACCATCTTAAAACAACATGATAGCCAATATTTTTAAATTTTTTTTATAGTAATCATATCTGTATACGGAAAATGTCCTCTTTCTATGGATATTTGATTAGGAGTTGCTGAAATATAAACTACCTTTTTACCAAATTGGCCTCTTCTAATAAAACAACAGGCAAAAAACCCTTCTGAGAAAGTTACCGTTGTCAATAAAGCACAATTGTCAGAGGAACTGAGGGAGGAAAGAGGTGGAGGGAGGAGATGTGGGAGAGAAAGTCAGAGACTACGTTTTTCACTGTCAGTTATTACATAACGTGGTTATTAAACGTAACCACTTTCAACATGATTGGGAACTTCCTAAAACTGTTACTGATAAAAAGAAAAATCCACCCAACAAATGCCACTATAAAGAAAGGGTTCTACTTCGCAAAGATATTTCCGTACAATTCTCAGCAGCAGAGTCCACTGTTATTTCAGTTATTAGAAACTCCACATGCAGCAAGGTTTTCTTTCCTCCCTGTCATTTTTACAATAATCCTCCAGAATAAATATATCTGATCATTGTCCTTTAACTGTGTATGAGCAGCAGAGGATCATAGGGAATATGAAGAATGGAAAGAACAAGAGAGTCTGAGCTGATTTTACCACAGATCTTTTGTTTTCCCTCTAGGTAGTGACATCAGAAGTCCCTGAGTTTAAGTCCAGGGTGTATTTTCTTTCTTGAAAAGGTTATTTAGTACTTTTGAGCTCTAGTTTCTTCTTCTACAAAATAGGGTGCATGAATAGATTTCTCATGGGATTGTTGTGAAGATTAAATGTATGTGAACTGCCAGTCATATCCTAGGTGCTCAAAACAGCAAGAACAAAATATGATACTCAGATAGAAAACAAACTAGGAGATGTAAGAGTTAGGCCAATCATGAATTACACTTTCCTGTTTCTCCTAATGGGTTCAAAGTACTTTATCATATGTTAATTTCTTTTTGTCATTTTAGAATATTGGACTACTATTTCCAGCAATGTATTTATTATAATATAATTTCAGGTCAGTAGAGCAATTTGGACTTCTGATACAGTGCACTCTTTTGCATTGTCTATTACTTTATTACAGGTTAATAAAGCAGTTTATGTGAAATATATCAAATAACAAATTATAAGATATCGTAAGAATGTAAAATGGAAGTTTATGGTTAAAATCTATAATATTTTGTGGGCCCACACTAGCTGTGGATCTAGGATTTTGAAGACCATGAATATTCTTTCCAATGTTCTACAAACATGCATTCTAATGTTTTACAGACATCCACAGAAACCATTAGTTTGGTTCAACTTCTTCAAAATATCTTTTTTCCTTATTTAATTGTATTCATTTCTTTCATTTCAGTCCTAAAACTCTATTTTCTGTAGACAACAAACACTAAGTTGTTTTAGTGCAAATAAGAAGCCCAGAACTAATTCCAAAATAGTGCAATTGATTCCAGAAGAGTGTGATATGTTTCCTTGTTGACAGGAGTCACATGGGATGGATCGTAAATGTATCCTCATTTCACACACCAAAGAAAACTTAAAGTCTTCAAAAGAAAGGCAGGAAGGAAGAAAGGAGAAAAGAAGAAAACAAAAAAAGGACAGGAAGAAGTGGTTGATGCCTGTAATCCCAGCAATTTACGAGGCTGAGGCAGGATTGCCTGAGCCCAGAAATTTGAGACCACCCTAGGCAACTAGTAAGACCCCATCTCTAAAAAAATTTTTTTAAATTTGCTGCCAGTTACTCAGGAGGCTGAGGCAGGAGGACCACCTGAACTCAGGATTTTGATGCTGCAGTGAGCTACGATTGTGCTACTGTGCCTCCACCTGGGTGATAGAATGAAATGGAAGGAAGGAAGGAAAGAAAGAAAAAAGGGAGGAAGAGAGGAAGGGAGGGAAGCAGGGAGGCAAGGAGGGAGGAAGAATTTCCTACCCTAGAAACTTGTAAACATGTCAAGATAGTCAAGGTCATTTACCGATTAGTGTTTGTAAGAGCTGAAGGTTTCACTTTGATAAGATTGTCCAAGTCTTGGCTGCTTAAAAGAGGGAGAGAAAAAAGTTCAGATTAGTAATAGGTTTTGGGGTTGTGCTAGGTCAATAAAGCAACATTATAAATCTACTTCATCCAGGGGCAACAGACAAATAAAAACATGAATTGACTGCTTCTATTTGATTACCTCTGATTGTTTCTGATTGCTGCAGGATTTACTTTGATGAGGTTAGCAAGATCTTGGTTTCTTTAAATCAAACAATAAAAAGAGAGCAGGTTAATTATGAAGTTCTTTTGGTAATATCATTAAGGTTATAAATCTGCTTGAAATAATAATAAAACTTAATATTCTTTCTGACCAAAGCACATTAAAACAACATAATTTTATTACTTTGGTTGTTTGTGAAAATTTCAGGATTCACTTTGATGAGTTTATCAAGATCTTGTTTTCTTTAAGTGGAAAAAATATTAAAGCAACTTGGATTAGAGATAATCATAGGTTTAAGGTAATTGGAAATGGAAAGGATAATAGTATAAGACATATTGTTTTAGTATTGACTAACCATGAAATATGTTTTCTAAACAATTTAGGGGATGAAGAATTACGCTTTATCAGAAGAAAACTTACTCTAATTTCATACATTTTATTGACAGAGCCTATCTACAAGGGCATGCTGGTTAAGTCACCATAGCAAACATTTGGTAACTGACAATTGTTCATTCTTGAATGTATTAACATTATAAGATACCAACTGATTTTAATATCCTTATTTTTAAAATCAGGTTAATCAACTAAGGATATCAATTTAAAAAAAATAAACTCTAAAATGGGGATTATTGTTAATATAAGGCTTAGCAAAGAGAGTTCCAGCAATCCATCAATTTCAAAGTGCTCCTCTAAACCCATTTTAATACTTATTCAGAGAAATACATGGCAGTTATCATGGCAAGAGATTGCAGAACTGACAACACCTGCTTCCAGTACCATCTGGGAAACAATCTACATGTACCTCTCCCTGCAACAGTGCTTTTTCCTTATATAAAAATAAAATACATTTTATTCCTCAAAAAAAAAAAAAAAAAAAAAAAAGGATGCAAGGTCAGGGACCAAAAGAGCGTCATTTAGAGATGAATCATCAGAACGTCTGAGAAAAGGTCTGCATTTTCTTCCCCAGCCTTCAACCTTTCCATAGAATGTTCAAGGCTTCATTTAGTTTGATTTATTCTTCATGGTTCTCACCTCTCCACAGCCTATGGAAAGGCTCTAACTGAATTTTCCCTATTTTGAGCTTTATTCTGTGATAATGTTCTCAACTGAACATAATAAATTGATATCTATGAATACTATTAAAAGAATGATTGACATATGAAAACTATCCACAACATAATTTCCTTGTGTAAACTGATGACAAAATCTGTCACAAAACTAAACTGTGTCAGAAAGACAACAGTCTTTAAAATGAGGTTAATTTCACATATTATTATAAAATACAAAGAATAAAACTTTGTAGAGTGGACAGTATGTTCAAAAGCCACAATTTTTTAAAAATATACAATTAATCACAATATTGGTTAGTGTAACTACAGATAATATTTATGTGTCAGCAAAATTAAGAGTAACATTAAAAAAAAAACAAAAATCCACTAGAACTTCCATTTTCACTGTCCTACTGAGCACAAAAATTTAATTTACCTAATAATCTAGAACAATTATATACTAACCACTGTTACATAAAGCCCAATAAGAAATACATTTTACATCACAGCCTAAAACTGTCTTTTACCAACAGCCACACACACACACACACACACACACAAAGACATACATTTTATGAAATAATATTCTTACTACATAAGAACTCTCATATTTTCTGTTCAGTTCATTCTATTTAATTAAGAGAAAAATGCTGATTGCCATTCACTAAATTAATTACAAGACCCTTTAATGGATTGCAACCCACATTTGAGAAACACTAGCTCAGAAAACATAAATATATGCTATATTCTACCACCACTCCTATAAAGACAACACCATGTGTTAATAAAACAAAAATCTCAGGAACAGTCTGGAATTGCCTTGATTGATAGCATCATGCAATTTTTGAAAACAACAAATATGTAGATTTTTTTCAGGCCCTAGATCCTGCAAAGCAAGATGTCTAAATTTTATCCAGGAAAATGTAACATTTTTTTCTCTCAAGTTACTGTTTTTATTTATTTAGCTTTAAGAATGTAGTAAAGGATACATTAGGATATTTAGGTTATTATTACTTTCATGCAGTTTAAAAGCTGTAAAGTGTTTTGCAATCATTTGCACATTTGTGCCATTTTAATCTATGAAGCAATCTTTCAAGTGACCCTGTAAGAACAGTAAAAAACACCTCCTGGTCATCCCACAGCAAGAGCAACACTCCTATCTTTACAGCCTCTGCTATTTCCCAAGGTGCTTAATTAATTTTTATGTATTTTAAGATCAAAGTCTGTGTGCTGTGATGTAAAGACTAGGAGTTGGGCTGGGAGTTAGAAGATCTCACAGATGACTGTGAGATTTTCACCCCTGGTCTCAGTATTCTCATCTGTAAATGAGGAGGTTGGATTGGATAATCTCCAAGGCTCTGTCCATCTCCAAACATCTCCTCCTGGGACTCCATGAATACGAATTTTACTGCCTCTGTGTTTATTAATTAGCTCTTCAGTATCTCTCCTTTTTAAGAATGCAACTCATTGACAATATATTCTATATTCAGCAAGCAGTACATGAGTGCTCCAAAATGTAATATATTAAACTGACAACCTATTATTGTCTTGGTGTAGCATCTCTGTGCCCCTGGTACATAATTAGCTTTAATCTATGTTAATTGCCTGCTGTTAATAAGATTGAATATGCCTACTGAATTCTCTTTTTGGCTTCCACAACCTATAATTATACCTAATGTACAAGTAATGATACCTGGTTGTAAGCTGTGAACCCAGTAGGTGCTCAGTAATTATTCACTGCCTAAGAGATGATAGAACTACTATCAGTCTTCCACTAATTTTTTCTGTGGCCTGCTCAAATCACTTAACCTTTCTGAGTCTTAATTTCCTCTTCTGCAAAATGAGTAGATTCATCTGGAACACTGGTTTTCAAAATTATTCAAACGACTGGGCCAAGATATCCTAAGGTTCCTTCCCTCCATCTCCAAAATTTTACAATTTGTATACGTACCAACAGAACTTAAAAGGGGAAATCATGAAACCATTCTTAAGATGTATTTATATATAAAACAGTAATGTGTAATGACATTAAGTCTTCAATTAACTATAGACAAAAAGTGAATTTCATTATCTTACTGACATTACTTCAAGAAGAATTATTAAACTTTAGGTCCATCACCTTGCTGAGCGCAGTAAACCTCCCAAGAATAATGAACCTCATAAAATTTCCACTGACTACCAGAAAACTCTAAAATGAGGTGAATGATATTGCTAATGATTAGTCCAATGAAGTGTCTAGGTCTTTTTTCAAAAAAATTAACTACCATTAATAAATTATCATCAATTTCAAAGACAAAAGTATTAATTTCAATACCATACAAAACAAAACATCAACAGCTCCTAGACTACCTATGTTCCTTCCTGCCCATTTCTCCAACCGCTCTGTTCAGTTCCTTTACTGGAGGCTTAGAGAAGAGAAAGCACAGCCATACATTGTTTCCAGCTGCCTCTCTTTCTTGCAATTAACAAATATTGAGACATCTAGGTTTCCACCTGCGATGATATTTTGAGATTTGCATTCAATTTGCCCATAGAATAATTCTAAATCATTTCTATTAATTTTGGGTTTACTTAACGAGAAACATAACAAAACTCACACCCATCTCTTACCCATCAGTGTTTTTGACAACTTTGGGGCTGACATTAATGTGTTCATCAAGACCTTGTTCACTGCGAAAACAAAATTAGAGGAAATTGGCAAATTTCATACCGGCATTTCTTTTTTTTTGTTTCGACAGGTGTAAATCATTCAATAGAATCCTAGTGTAAGAAGTCATGAGTTTACTGAGTTTCCAATTTACATATATTAGTTACCATTTTTTTAATCCTCAAAACAACTCAGTGACATCCACATTACCACCCCTACCCCCACCCCCACTGCCTTTATAAACAAAGATATTGCACTTCAGAGGGATAAAGGCATTCCCTGGGGCCAGATACCTAAGAAATGGCTGAGGGTGAACCAAAATTCCAACCACAGGAACTGGACCGCAAACTCCACACTCCTTTCCCCAACATCCTCCCTCTGTCTCATGTTCATAACAATCCCTCACATCCATACAATGCTTTTCACCTACATTATCTTCACAGTAATTTAATGAGTGATAGTTTGGGGTTTCTCTGCCATGCTTTTAGTAACTTTTGTCCCGTGTATAATGGGTCTTAAGTTCTCAAGAACAGAAGTAAATTCAATGTCATGCAAAAAATATTCTAATCAAACATAAGAATATTATGTTGTCAGTTTTCTTGCCAGTTATTTAAATATTAATCTCTGGGTTTGTGAGAGAACAGAAAGCCAATATTTACTTATTTGTTCAGTTTTATGAACTTGTAATTTACTATGAATTTATGATTATAATTTAGTTATGCTATTACTGTGTCAAAGGAACTTCTAAAGTAGTAATTACAGAATTACCTTCAATATTATCATCTTCAACAATAATATAATGAAATTAATGAAAGCAATAATAGATAAAAAAAATCTATCCAGCATTATTATACATCAACTTGTTCTCATTTTTTTTCATGTCCCCTTTCAAAATGTCTTTAGTCAATAATTAATCTTATTTTGGGGCATAAATTGGAGACTTGCTAAGAAGTCTTCAATAATCTTAATAGACTTACCTTTTGTTTGCTGAAGGGATCACTTTGATAAGATTGTCCAAGTCTTGGTTCCTAAAAAAATGTTAAGTTTCAGTAGCTGACTAGGTCAACTAAAATCCAATAATTTGTATATTTTTTCAGCCTTAATATTAACCAAATGATTGTTGCTAATTTAAAACTTCATCTATACTTAAATTTTTAGCCTTATGTAAAAACAGGTAGCTACTGTCAATTCATTTCTTGCATATATTTGTGTATATGATAATTTAATTTAGTTTTATTCTTGTTTCTTTCAAGTCAACCTCAAAGCAGAATTATTCCTACACTCTTTATTTTACATACTTTATCTGTGTGGCAGAATTAGACCATTTAGAATATTTTCTGGAGGTTATAATGAGCGAGAGAAAATATAAAATTATTCATTATATCCATATGTTCCTTGCTCCCCTTCTTCCACAACAAACAGAAGCTGAGATTTTTTGTAAAAAAAAAAAAAGAAAAAGAAAAAAGAAAAAAAAGTCATTTTCTGATTCTATGTAGGTAATATATATAATATAAATATGTAATATTCACACTACCCCAAGATATTAAATCACTTCAGAATCACACTTCATGCAAAGCTAAATTAGAGCGAGCGAGGCATCAGTTTATATAATTTACGTTTCTATTCTAAACACTCAAATAGTCATTCATCGCTCTACAGAGATGCTGCTGTTATTACAGTAATGATACCAACCCTAACACCAAAGACCTGAATAGGAAGCCTAATTTGATATACTTTATTATTGGATGATATGTTATATATCCTGGAGAGAAAATAATTGGAAAGACTTATATCTTAACTAACCCTTAAGACTAATCTATAGGTTCATTTTATCATGTGCGTATTCTTCCATGTAAATTATTATATTCTATTACATTGAACTGTTTAAAATTGCCATTTTGTTGGTCAAAAATAGTTGAATGTCAGCAATTTCATAAGATTCAACCTCCCAGGAAAATGTATTTGCTATGTTCTTCACATTGAGTAGTGCTATGGGAAATTAACAATAAAGAAAAAATTGTTAAGAGTAATAATAATACTAATAGATAATGTGTAATAAGCACGTGAACACTAAGTGTTTTACAAGCATGATCATGTTTAATTTTTGTAGTAACTCATGAAGAAATTAACTCTTACAATCCTGATATTACATATAAAAAAGCTGAGGTATAAAGGAGGTTAGGCAATTTGTCCAAGACTACACAGCTAGCAAAAGGTCCTCTGAACTCAAAAAAATCTCACTACCAAGTAAAAGAAATAGACACACAACCAAATGCAATACATGGCAGCATGTGGCTACCAAAATACAGCCTCAAACATTATAAAGGAAAAGTCATGAATAATCAGGCCATCTTCACCTTTAGAAACTAAGTCATCTTGGGAGAGGGAAAAGGCAACTGTCTTTCACTGAATCTTAATCTGTAATGTAATTATATGGTTTCTGGATTTAGTGTCTGACCCTCAATAATAAAACTAAAGTTGTATTAATATATGCCAAATCAGGGGGGCAGTAGGGTAGTAGGCTGTATTTCAGACTCCACCTCAACTACATTCAGATTTGACTCTCTTCACCCGCCCAAACAAAATACTATGTAGTCTAGGGGTTAGCAAACTATGGACCTCAAGCTAAATCCAACTTGCAGCCTGCTTTTGTAAATAAAGTTTTATTGAAACACAGCCACGCCCATTTGTTCACAAGGTACTTATGGCTGCTTTCACACTATTGGCAGAGATACTTAAAAACAGAGACAATTTTGGTCCCTGAAACCAGAACTATTTACTATTAGCCCTTTAAGAAAAAGTTGCTGACCTCTGATCTAGTCTAAATAAGTTGTTTGATAGCCACATACTGTAAAATAGACCGTATTCCAATATGCAAAGTAAGATAGGAAATCTGCTGAGAGAAGATATATATCTTTGTATCTTTTATATCTAACTCATGTTCAAATTCATATAACAATATACATTTACAAGTTGGTGATTTTATTATGCCTGTTTATTTACTTAACATGATATGCCTTAGATAAAATTCTTTCTATATAAAAGAAAAATGTCATTCTTTTTTCAATGAACTGAGAATAATTTTTTAAATGACTTCCCAACTTTAGGAATTGTTTGGGTGGTAGACAATAAGAAGAGAGGGAATACATGATGGAAGAAGGAGGAAGAATTTTTTATCATATGAAGACCTTTCTTTAGGCTACTTAGATCTGGGAAATTGTTTGGGGTGATGTTTTGTCTCATGGGGAATTCTCATTAATTTTTAAGGAAATCCTCAGCATGGAACACAAATCTCATACTGGTAAGAGATCATTCCTGTATTTCAAGGAATTCTCTCTCCCATGGCCAGAGAGCCTTGAGCACAGGATCTGCTGATTTGGGTCCCATCATTGGTTGTCTCTACGGTGGGACGATGCAATTTATTTATTTATTTATTTTTGAGACGGATTCTCGCTCTGTCGCCCAGGCTGGAGTGCAGTGGCACGATCTTGGCTCACGGCAAGCTCCGCCTCCAGGGTTCACGCCATTCTCCTGCCTCAGCCTCCTGAGTAGCTGGGACTACAGGCGCCCGCCACCATGCCCGGCTAATTTTTTGTATTTTTAGGAGAGAAGGGGTTTCACCATGTTAGCCAGGATGGTCTCGATCTCCTGACCTCGTGATCCGCTGGCCTCGGCCTCCCAAAGTGCTGGGATTACAGGCATGAGCCACTGCGCAATTTACCATGTTTTTAAGTTGATTAGGAAAAAATCGGGGGAGAAGTTCCATAAACCTTACCCTTGGTTAGTTGTGTTTCTTTCAGGAGCCACTTTGATGAGGCGGTCGAGACTTTGGCCCCTTCAAAACATAGAAAACCAGATCAGTGGTAGATTTACCGCTGACTTCAAGTATTTGTTAATGGTTTCAAGTATTTGTTAAAACTGAGAAATACTTTTATTATAAAATATTTATCAAAATAATAAAATTAGAGAGCATCTCAGAGGGCTGGGGGTTTTCAGTGTTGACTGTGAATATACATATAGGGACCTAACTAAAACTGGAGAGAAATAATGAATAAGTACTTTTAGAAAATGTTTGATGTGCCAGGCCAGGCACTCTTCTTAGTGATTTACGTGATTTGTCTAATTTAATCCTCACATCAATCCTATGACATAGTAAGTATTCATAGGAAGTATTATTATTCCAGCTTCATAGAGGGAATAACTGAGACACAGAAAGCTTAAGTAATTTTCCCACATGGCTAGTGGTAGCAGAGCTGGGATTTAAAGCTAGGTAATCTGGCTGCAGAATGCCTGTGCCTTATCATGACACCAAACATCTATTGGAACTTAGTAACTGAATTAGACTTGGGAGTATTGAGAGAGCTCCTGGTGCAATTTCCTCACTTTGCAGATGAGAAACTGAAGCCTAAATAGAAGTGACTAGTTTGAGCACACACAGGTAAGAGGAGCAGAGACAGGCCTATACCCACAACTACGGGGTCTGGTCTAGTTCTCTTTCTCCTCTACTATGTCATCCCTTCTGCTTGAGAAAAATAATAAATCAATGAATAAAAATGTCCTGTCCATGGTGGGAAAACAATTTTATTCCTGATTAGTCAAAGAGTACTCTCATTGTATCAGAAATTGATTGACCAAAATTTTTAACATTTCAGATGTGAAGTAGGCAGGGTTACACGGCTTCTCTTGAAGGATCATTGGGTTCAGCATCAGTCAGCCGAAATGAGGCTTTAATTATACTTTTAGGTATTGGTTACTATGAAACAAAAAAAGGGAGCTTACTAAATCTTACCCTTGAGTACTTTTTTCTGTTCCTGGATTCACTTTGATGAAGTCATTGAGGTCTTTGGAACTTCAAACAAAAAACAAAAAACATGATAAATAAAAATGGAATTAAATAAATTGGCTGTTTCGATTTAAAGGATATATGTACTCAAGATAAATGTTACTATTAAGCTTTGAGATAAATTGGTACAAGACTATGCTCTTAATTTAAAAGACTAAACTTTGTGACCTTCCTACCAATCACTGGTACACTGACATAGTTTCTCATTTACCCCCAAAATAAAACCATACAATTAGGGCAAGACTCCATTAAAAAAAAATCAGTTAATGAATGACATAATAATCTGCTAAAAACTCTCACCTGGTTCCCCTAAGCATTCCATCTAATGTTACAGCTATAACTAAACTGTTTTGTTAATCATTTCCATTTGTAATATCCTTCTTTAAAAAATGGATTTTATACCCATTATTTCATTCATTCCTAACAACTATCAAGTGACAAAAACCAAACATCATCATTATTATTATTATTGACATGGTGTTTGACTCTGTCACCCAGGCTAGAGTGCAGTGGCTGGATCTCAGCTCATTGTAACTTCCACCTCCTGGGTTCAAGCGATTCTCCTGTCTCAGCCTCCCAAGTAGCTGGGACTACAGGTGCACTCCACCATGCCTGGCTAATTTTTGTATTTTTTTATAGAGACAGGGTTTCACTATGTTGGCCAGGCTGGACTTGAACTCCCAACCTCAAGTAATCCGCCTGCCTCGACCTCCCAAAGTGCTGGGATTACAGGTGTGAGCCACCGTACCCAGCCAAACAAATATTATGATCCTCATTTTATAACTAAGGAGGCTGTAGCTCAGCATTCAAGGGACTTGTTCAAGGACACCAAGCTAGTAAGTAATGGGGTTCAGACTTTCTGATCCCAATCCAAAGGTTTTTCAACACATCTTCTTTCCTGAGTGCCACAAATGGATGGGGAAGAGGAAGGAAGAGAGGTAAGACATAGTCCTCACCCTTGGTCACTTCTGTTTACTTCAGGGGTCACTTTGATGAGATTGTCAAGACTCTGGCCCCTTTAAAACATTGAAGAAATGGTAAGATTGACAACACATAACAACAGTAGACTGACAACAAGAAGATAAAGCTGTTCATTAAAACTCAGAAGCAGTGTAAAAACTCATTGAGATCATGCCAAGGAGTTGAAGATTGAAGATTGTGAAAGGTGACTGCAGAAGTATGTAGGGATTTGTACATCTCTGAAATTCACTGAGACTCAGGGAGACAGTATTTTAGTCTCAGAGCCATTTGGCCGCTAGCAAGTACTGCACTAGGATTCTCTCTACTTTTATGCACTAAATGCTACAATTTTAGCTTTTACCAGGTGCACAAAACATTTTTGTAACTTAGTCTATATACTTGTTTCATGAAATATTCCAGAAGGGATACTCTTTACCAACCTCTGACATGTAGAACTTTAAAACCAGCTTTGGAGAATCCATATTTTGTAAAATTGGCATTCATTAGCAGATTTTTTCTATCACAAAACTGTATTAATACACCAATTTGTTAAAAATCTATGATATGCAACCCAGTAATTGCTTCTGGTACTTATAACTATGTTAGAATTATGAATTTTGACTAGTTGTATTTGGCAACAAACAATAGGAATATTGAAATCTACAGAGTTCTGAAACATTCTGAAATGTAAGATCTATCAACTGTAATATAAAGCACAATCTGGCTGGGCATGGTGGCTCATTCCTGTAATCCCAGCATTTTGGGAGGCCAAGGTGGGAGGATCACTTGAGCCCAGGAAGTCCAGGCCAGACTGGGCAACATAGCAAGATCCTGTCTCCATAAATTTTTTTTTTTAAATTAGCCTGGGATGGTGGTGCACACCTATGGCTCCAGCTACTCATGTGGCTGAGGTGAGAAGATTCCCTTGAGCCCAGGCTTTTGAGGCTGCAGTGAGCTGTGATTGCACCACTGCACTCCAGCCTGGGACAGAGCAAGACCCTGTCTGAGAAAGAAATAAAATGAAATTAAATTAAATTAAATTAAATTAAATTAAATTCCATGCAGTCATCGAAAACATTTTAGTAGTTTGCTGTTACTCTTTAGCATACGTCGGTTTCTGATCTTAGTGGAATTTTGCTTTTCTCCCTGCATCTACATGTGTTTTCTGCATACCAATAGCAGCAATAAATGCTGCTCTGATCTACAGAGGATGCCACATAGGGAAAAGAATATCCACAGGAAGGCCTTTTTGCACTGCGTCTCCATACTCTGTGACTCTATTAAGGCCATGTCCAAAAGCCCCAAGGTTTTGTCTATACAACATCAAAGATACAGATATTTGAAAGCAACTAGATGTTGATTCAAGTCTTTTATTTGTATCCAGATGTCTGAGAATGTGATATACAGACTCAAAGTAGCAATAATTACTTTGAACCTTTGTCATGCAAATAATGAAACAATTAGCCCCACAGAAGCAATCACTCCACTCCAGATTACTCCTTGTTGATTTCTGCCCAAATGAAGTATGTGGGATTTGAAGGCCAGTGACAGAAAAAAAAAAATTCCCGGGATGCTATTTCCAGACTTGTGTATTCAAAAAAATAACAAAACGGTAAGCATTATAACTCCTCCCTTTGTGTTGGTTGTGGAATTTGCTTTAACTATATTTTAGGACTTGATCTCTTTAAATATTAAATAAAGCACATAATCAAATAAGGTTATTTAAATCTCATAGTTCATAAAGTCCATAAAGAAAGAGTAGATTAATGTAGTAATGTACTATTAATGTAATAATGTAAAGTAATATGTGAGTTTATGTAAAGCAATACCTCATAGTATATATATCTGCAGTATTATGGGTTACTTCAATCCACCCTCATAGTATATATATCCATACCTCATAGTATATACCTCATAGTATATTTATCTTCAGAGTATATATATGTTTTGGAAAGCCCACCATGGGCCAGACCCTGCCCCAAGCTCTGGGATAAATGTGAACAATATAGACACAGGATTAAACCTCACAAGGCTTCCATTTCAGCTTCGGAAGAGTCAGGCAATATACAATTAAACAAATAAATGAATACCACAATTCCAAATAACAATATATGTTATGAGGAAAATAAAAAAGAGTGGTTGGTGCCTGCAGTAGTGGGGGTGGGGAACAGGACAGTGACTTAATTATATTCTGTGGTCAGAAATGACCTATTGGAGAAGGTGACGATATGGGGATTGAGCATTCCAGGAAGTGGGAACAGCATATGCTGAAACCTTAAGGCAGGAATGAGTCTGGAATAGAAAAATATCAGCTTGGCGAGGCTTTACTGAGAAAGTAAAAGGCTATTGCTTTATTTTTAAAAGATCCACAGACTTCATTATGTTCAGAAAAAGGAAATGACAACTACTATTCTCAAAAGCCCACAGGAAGTACACACATACAAATATAGACACATGTGCTACATACACGCTCACACACACAGGTACATTCACATACATGTACATATGCACTCATATACACACAAAAGCACATGTGTATATTTACACATATACTCATGAAAACACAAGCAACATGCATACATATGCAATCACGCACATGTACAATGTACACACATGCAATGCACAGACTCATGTACATAGGCAATCACGTATGCATATAGACATATACATATATGCATGCACATGAATGCACACATGCACAAAAACATTTGCATGCATGCATACACACATGAGCATAGGCATGCCCACATACACACACACCAATATATGAAGAAAAATAAGTCCTGATTGGAAATATTATCATTATTTTTTGAGACAGAATCTTGCTCTGGCACCCAGGCTGGAGTGCAGTGGTGCCATCTTGGCTCACTGCAACCTCCAACTCTCCAGTTCAAGCAATTCTCCTGCCTCAGCCTCCTGAGTAGTTGAGATACCTGGCTAATTTTTTGTATTTTTAGTAGAGATGGGGTTTCACTGTGTTAGCCACCATGGTCTCGATCTCCTGACCTTGTGATCTGCCCACCTCGACCTCCCAAAGTGCTGGTATTACAGGTTTGAGCCATCGTACTCAGTCTGGAAATATTATTTTTAATAAAAATTAGAAAAGGAAACATGGATTTTTCTTGGAAAGTTGATATTAAATATTTGAACACTAAATTATGAAGAAAATATAATTCACTTGAATCTTTATTGTTGCAACAATTACTTGTATCTACTATATGCCTGGCATGAGAATCTTATGATCCCTCTTTTGTAAATGAGTAAACTGAGGTACAGGGACACAGTTAGCAAGTGATAGAGCCAGAATTAGAACCTACGATTTTTGGATTCCCTGCTCGCATTCACTACCTCAGGTTACCTCCGTGAACCACCCAGGTACTGAAGGAAATCAATGCTTTCTTCTCCATCTATGGGTTGCAAGCTTGTGCAAGCCTCGAACTCACTGGGTCGCTGTGCCTCTGACCATGCCACAACTACACAAACAGGGCAGGCTTGACAGTGTGCACACCAGCTTTTCAACTACCTAAGCCTTTGCCCTCTCAACTGGCCTGCAGGCATCCTTGACACACGTTAGAACTGACAAATAATATCATGAACTGAGATAATTGAATGGAAAGGAATTCAAGGGAAACTACATGCAATTATATGTTACTGTTTCCAGCAACATACCAACAAATTCAGTTTCAAAAATATTCCATCTGCCTTATAAAGAACAAAAAGCAAGAAGATATAAGCTCTCCAGACTTACTTGACAACTCATGGGTAAGAACAAAGTACACTTTGTTAAGCTCTTCATCTTTAAATACACACCACACTACATGCACATACATACACTAAACACAAATACACCACACATGCACATGTAGATCATACATATACACATCCACACATGCACTTACACATACACACACACGCTTATACACACACCCATTTATACACACATGCACTTAAATCCACATGCTACTGATACACGTGCACATACACTCACACACACTACTTATATCTACATATATATGCACTTACACATACATACATGCACTTATATATAAACACACTACTTATATATTCACACACATACACTAATACATGTACTCACACTAGCATACAAAGAAATAAATCATTTAGTTCAGTAGAGAAGGTCAGCCCAAATCTCATTTAATTTCTCAAATTTATTTGATAACAAACTTCGCCCAAGAATAAAATGCAGGAGATTTAGGTGTATCACTTGCACAGAATTACTTAATATAAGGTGTTTAGAGAAAAAAGAGCTCAGTTTGTTTTGGCCTGAATTCCAATTTACTGTCCTGAATACCAACACTCAAAATTCTAATGTGCTTCTAAATGCCAAACAAAGGGGAGAGGGGAACTTTAAATGCCTTACCTCCTAATATTTTTATTTGTTTCAGGATCCACTTTAATAAGCCCATCGAGGTCTTGTTTTCTTTGGAAAAGGAAATTAATTTTAATGAATGATGTTAAAATATAGCACTAATCAGATGAATAATGGCTGGAAAAATTAAGAAGTGGTAAATATACAAGTTTTCTATATCAATGTAAAATTTTAAAGCTCTACATGAAAATGAAAATTATTCTCTTGTAACTTGAGCTGAAGACCATTTAAGGTTGCTTATTTGTTAGTGATAAATGTGATTTTTTGTTTTGTTCTCAGAATGCATAAGTATATATGAAACTTGTTATTTAACAAAATCAACTTTGTCTTCAGATATATCTTGTTAGAACACTCCAGGCAGGCAGCATTGAAGTAACATTAAGTTAGATTAAGTTCTACACTGGACCCAGACAGTATAAATTTCTACTCAACAAACTGGATACAATTGCCTATTCTGTTTTTAAGTAGTAAGAATAATGTTGAGAATCATAATTTCATAATAACAATAATTTAACAATATTAACTAAAAGAATAAGAATGTATGCTTTCATATAAACTCAGTTATCTACCTAGCCCAAACCCTTTTAAATATCAGTTCCTTCAGAGTAGATTATGGTGAGCAAAAAAGGGCAAGAAAAAACAGCTCACATAGTAGAAAAATTAATGATTCACTCCCCAGGGGGACACAGGCCACCCCATTAAAATACTTTGATACCATAAAAGGCAGAAGCAGAATCTAAAAGGGACAGGAGGGGAAGGCAGAAGCACTGTGACTGGGTGCCATTGCCATGTCAACACAGCTCTGAACAGGAGACAAAGTGGTGGGAGGTCCTCACTACCCCTGTGTGTGCCAGCCCAGCCTCCCCTGGGCTGCCTCCTGAGACCACCACCCTTAGAGAAGTTGAATTAGCAGAGCTTTAGAGAAGTTGAATTAGCAGAGCTTTAGAGAAGTTGAATTAGCAGAGCTTCAATGATGGCTCACTCTTGGCCATCTCTGTCATTTTGGAAAGATGCTTTGACGATTTTGTCAAGACTGTGCATTCTTTAGGCACAAAAAATTCAATTTGATCACTTACTCTGAAGACAAATCAAAGCCCAAAATCTGGGCAAAAAGGCAATTTACTATCAAACATTAAGACAATGCTTCAAAAGTTAGTGGTTTTATTGAGGGCAAGGAGGGATGGTCATGAGGCCTATCTTTATTGTCTAATTCCCTGCTAATAAAATGTGGTTATGAAGCTAAAAAGTCAAATTATTTTATCTTCTGATTGACATGTAACAGAAACCATAATTAAAGACATTAATTATTCTTACCCAGTGGTATTTTCATTTCCTTTGGGATTTACTTTGATAGCATTATCAACGTCTTCACTTCTTTAAAAAAAAAAGGTTTATATCAGTTTCAAAACATTCCCATAATATCAGACACATACATCTTCTGTATTCCCAATGATTAATTCAAGCTTTTGGAGAAAATTATTATACTGACATTAAATTGGCTTTTAGGATAAAAATGGCCTATCAATAACTTAGTTTAATTAATCCTTAGAATTTTATTGGGTTATATGTAAATGTAAATTTAGATCGAATATACTGTATGTAGATTCTTTGAAGTGAAGATCAGGGCACCAGGGATTAGACACAGAAGAGAGAAGCCAAACAAAGATGTGATGCCCTCAATATCACATAATTAATATGAGAGAAAATAACCAATATTTAGAGACATCTGTTCAGTTCTCACCTTCTGCTCGTTTTATTCATCCTGGCATTCACTTTAACAACAGATTCGAGATCCTGTCTTCTTTGAAAAAAACACCAAAACTTGTCAGTTAGGTTACAGTACACTTTTCTCTGAAATCTGTATAATCAAGAATGTCCCTGAATGTGGTGTCAGGTGTTTTCAGGACAAAATGACCAGGAAGAGCTTTGATGTAATTATCCTTAACTTACCTTTATTAATTTCCACAACAGCATTTCATTTAAACGAGTCTAAATCAGTTTAGAAAAACTTCTCAATGTGGCTCTCACTGTGCAATTTTGTCCTTTGTATTTCTTAATTTAAATTAAAATTTGACTCATCTCTTAATTATTTAAGAAAATATGGAATAAGAGATTATGTAGCGGGTTTTCTTGCACCTACTTCAATGTAACTCAAATCAGAGGTCCTATGAAGGAAACAGCACTCATCGTATTCCTTTTGCCTGCTAGGTCTGATGGGTCAAAGCAGTGCAAGAGTTCACTGTCACAAAGGAAAGCATAGCACTCCCATTCCTAATGAGGTATAAAAAGCTAACCTGAATAAAAAGAGCCCCATCAAGGTAGGAGATTTACTTACCCTTTCTCGTTTTTGTTAGTCCTTTGATTAACTTTAATTGGACTTCCAAGGCTTTGGGTTCTTTAAAACATTGGGGGAAAAAAAGAGAAAGAGCAACTCAGTGGTATATTCAGAATCTTGTAATGACAAGCAGCAGATTTCCCACAAGAGAATCTCGTAAGATGTAATCAGTGCCTAAAGGATCAGAAGTCCTTGGAAATATTGAATTCAAGTGGCTCTATCCATCATGCAAAATGCATAAGCAGCAGCCTGAGACTAAGATATCAACCATTACTCAGTTATGATAGAGTCAACTTAAAAGTTTTAACCAACGTCTTGGCTTCTGCTTTCTTGGAGGTGGGTTAGTGGGAGGCTTTTAACACATATATTGAGATACTGATTTTAATACATATATTGAGATACTGTCTTATTTAAGCATGAAAATCATTTACATTAGGGGTGGAAATCAATTGATCAATATTTTAAGTCTAAATACTTTGAGGATTTAGACAAGTCATTTCTCCTTAAAAGTTAGCAGATGTGTTTAAAGGGTCTGAAGTCACCTTGGTAAAGTCAAAATAACTGTTATGGTCCCAGCACTTTATATAAATGAAATAAAACTCTCACATGCCAGTGACTGACAATCACTAGCAAATATGAAAGCTAATCTCTTTAAATTCCCCCAAGCTTCCAAGTATTATGCTTTGCCATTTTCACCTCTCTCTGATTTCTCTGTGATAAGACTGTCGATATTTTAAGTTATTTCAACGTGAGAAAGAAGGAAGGGAAGAAGAAAAAAGAACTTGGACTTTTTCCCTACCACGCAGACAAGATCAGTTATTCCTGCACCAAAACTCAGTTGTTATCAAATTATCCCAGATTATAAATCTTTTTCCTAGCCCACAAAATGATCTACTTATGATGCTCATCCTACTCTTCCTTTCGTCTACCACTTTTGCAGAACTCTCCAAACTGTTTTTGAAAACTATCTGGAACCTCATCTATTCCTAGAAAGCTCATATATCCATGAACAACAACAACAACAAAAGGCTATTTTTCTACTTCATCTATTCCATATTTGAAAAAGTCACCTACAATATGTTGGCATGTTTACATTATAGTCATAAGTTGTTAATAAGCATTCAATGCCTGTGTGATGGTTACTGCCAACGCTTTTCATCATATAGACTTTGTTAAGTGTTCTATATCAGAAAGGGTTAAGAATGCATCGCCAAGATTGGCTTGGAAAGCTAGAATGCCATCCTGGGCATAGACTGGCACAGATAAATGGTTTTTAAAAATAACTATGACAACAGAAATAATTCTCATGTTAGAAAGGCAAATTTCATGACTAACCAAATACAAAGTAAACAGCCAATCTGGAAGGCAAAAATAGTAGAGATCTCATAAATCCTTGCCCTTTGCCATTCTTGACTATTCTGGGATTTTCTCTAATGAAACTGGCATGGCTTTGGTTTCTTTCAACAAGAAAAATAATATCAGTCATGTAAGTCAATTATCTAGTGTATCAGTCAGGCTAGAACTACAAGGTAACCTCTTAAATGCTATCAGCTCAGTTACTAATAATTAATTAACCCATTTTATGATTTAAAATAAATAAAAGCCTAGTTTTGCATTTAAAGATATTTACAAATATATATGAAGAGATATGCATATGAAATGACTCAACTAAGATTCCAACTGAGAAGTGCCTTATACACTCTAAAGACTTCAGTGGTGGCCAGGCGTGGTGGCTTATGCCTGTAATCCTAGCACGTTGGAAGGTCTAGATGGGCAGATCACATGAGGTCAGTAGTTCAAGACCAGCCTGGCCAAGATGGTAAAACACCATCTCTACTAAAAATACAAAAATTAGCTGGGCATAGTGGCGGGCACCTGTAATCCCAGCTACTCGGGAGGCTGAGGCAGGAGAATCACTTGAACCTCAGAGGCAGTGGCTGCAGTGAGCCAAAGTAGAGCCTCAGAGCAAGATTCTATCTTAAAGAAAAAAAAAAAAAAAACAGAGAGACTTCGGTGGTGAGGGACTATGCTCCTAAATGCCTTATTATAAATGTATTTAGTTTATAAATCAACCTATTCTCCACTACTCTTAACAGCTAGTTGTGTTTCTTTCCATTTTAGATATAAAGGGGAACTGGGAGATCATCTAGGTCATATCCTTCATTTTATGGAATGAGGAAACAGAGATGTCCAGAAATTACACAGCTTGCCCAGAGTCACCCAGATTGATGTTGGTGGGAGAGCCAGCACCAAGACACACACTACCTCTGGACCCCAGTCTGAGGCTTATTCCACCAGCCTGCCTGACCCTTGTCCTAAGCAGGAGTTCTCTTCCAGAAAATAGTATACTGTCTGGGACTCAACCAAAATGGTCTGTCTTAATAAAATCTTACCCTTTGCCATGTTTATCTGTCCGGGTACTCACATAGATGAGACTTTCAAGGCTTTTGGCTCTGAAAACAAAGAAATTCACATAAAAGACTGCGTATTGAAATGAAATTGTGTGGTATCTTGAAAGGTCAGATGCAATAAAAATTCTCCATGAACTGCTCATTTACTCTTATTGAATGGAAGAGCAGAAATCCTTCTTGGTAATTATGTCTGAACTAAATGTACAATGCTGAGAGCACTACCCCATCTGCTAGTACATTTCCATGCCAGAGGATTCAACTCCCTCACAGCTAATGTCTGAAGGAATAAGACGAGCAATCTGCAAGATAAGATTTTCAGATTTGAGACAGATGCACTTACCTTTTCTCTCTTTCGTCTACCTTTGGATTTGCTCTGAAGAGACCATCAAGACCTCGATTCCTTTAAATGTATTGATTAAGAAAAGCCTCATCAGTGACAATGACCAATGCTTAACCCTATAAAAACATAGACCAGTTTACATCTAAGACAGGAAACAGAAGCTTGTTGGGGAAGATGAGCCACAATTCTTGAAACAGGTATTTTCATAGACTCAAATTTTAAATTGTAGTGGGCCTTAGAGAAAATAAAATAAAAGATATAAACTGGGGATCTGCCAACCACAATAGGTCCATAGAGGTGTTGCTTGGATTCATGGAGCATTTCTATCCTTTTAGCTTTCAAGCATGGGCTTTAAAGTGAGCCCATGTTTACAATGATGGTCAGGACACACAGAAACCTGGATTTTCAGGCTGGGTGTGGTGGCTTATGCCTATAATCCCAGTTCTTTGAGAGGCCAAGGTGGAAGGATCACCTGATCCCAGGAGCCCAAGACCAGCCTGGAGAACATGGTCTGACCCCATCTCTACAAAAAAATTAAAACTTAGCCAGGCATGGTGTTGGTGCCTGTAGTCTCAGCTACTTGGGAGGTTGTGATAGGAGGATTGCTTGAACCCAGGAGATGGAGGCTGCAGTGAGCTATGATTGTACCACTGCACTCCAGCCTGGGTGACAGAGCGAGACCCTGTCTCTAAAACAAACAAACAACAAAACTGGATTTATAGGATCTCCTGAGAATGTCCTGCTGTCCTGCAACACTAGACTCAGTGGAGACCCTCAGCTGGAGCTGAGCTGAGAAGCAGCTGTGTGCTTAGACAGGGCATTTGCTCTCCTTTTGGCCCCAGTTCTCTCACTGCCTGTGTTTCATATAGTCAGTCTCCTCACCCACTCACACCTGCCTGGCCTCAGTGGGCCGTGGAGTCTGTGACTCCTGATCTAAAACCTCCTCTCCTTGTAAATGAGGAAACTGAAGAGCAGCAAATTAAGTGAGCATTATTGCCAGAACAGGATATGAAAAACACATCCCATGATCCTCTGATCAATTCATTTGGCATTTGCCCTGTTTTCTCCTTCTCTTTGATCGCTGTTTAGTGGGTTAGTATGCAAAATAATAGAGAGCTTGCTTACCTTATACAGACCACAAACACAAGCCTTGATTATTGATTTTTCTCTCTTGGCATATTTCAAGTTATACAATTATAAATGATTCAAAACAAGAAGATACAGCCTGGGCAACATAGTGAGACTCCATCTCTACAAAAAATTAAAAATTAGCCACACATGGTGGCACATGCCTGTAGTCCCAGCTACTTGGGAGGCTGAGGCAAGAGGATGGCTAGAGCCCAGGAGGTCAAGGCTGCAGTGAGTTATGTGTGCACCACTGCACTCCAGCCTGGGTAAAAGAGTGAGACCATGTCTCAAAAATAATAATAAACAATATAACATCAACTATGATAATAAAATGTTTTTTGTAATGGTTAAACTAAAATTATTCCATGATCAAACCAAATTCTGTTTACATTCTAGTGATTTAGTATTTCAGGAAGAGAAAAGTGGTTATTTATATAACTGCCTTAATAAACACATGGAGCATGAAAATCAAGGACACTTTCATATTAGTATCTTTAGACCTCAATAACCATTCATCATAACAATGAAATGATGATGATTGCTGCAAGCTTTTATTCAAGATTTGTAGGATATTTTTGACTACGTATGTGGGTCCTCACGCTCAAAGACTGGAAAGGCATAAAAAGTCACAATATGCAACTCAGCAGTAAAAAATAAACATTTAAAAATCTTACCTATTCAAGCTTTTGTTCATTTTGATGAGATTATCCAATTCTTCACTTTGGGAAGAGAAAAAAATGTTTAATGTTAGTAAAAAGCTTGCCCAGGGTCAAAGGGTAAATTTGCCTTAAAATTACAGTTCTCTGAAATACAACACATGCCACTTTTATCATCTGCGAAAATCCTGATGATCCTCAAAGCTCTCATCAAACACCACTTTCTCCAGAATGCCTTTCCTAGTCCTCTAACTGAATAGAGTCCTCTACATTTTTGGAGCCCTTGCAGCATTTGTTTTTTCTGCACCTCCTTTATGACAGATCTATTACTATACTTTGAGTTATAGCCATTGCACACTGGTCTCATGTTAATGCCCCTACCTCTGCACAGGCACACGTATGCGCACCACTTAAAATTTAGAACTGTATTTTACATCAGACACATTTCTGTGTTTTAATACAGTGTCTTTCATACAGTAGATACTTAATACCCACTTTTAATTGAGTCTACACATAGGTACATTGATTAATTACAGCATTGCGCAATGTACTTGCACACGTAGCTTCTAGAAAACATTTGTTCATCAGTAAGTCTGGCTTCCTTCTTAAGTTCTGCTACTTCATTTCCAGGTCAGCTAAATTTGCTAGCCTGTTTCCACATCTGAGAACTGCAAAGCCCTTTCTGGCTGCTGCTTCAGGAGCAACCTATCTAAACTCTTAGGTTCAGGAATTCTGTTTAAACCACATGGGTTCAACCTTCTCTCCCAAGCAGGCACCCTAGGTGAGGTGGGGTGGGGGTTTCACCACAGTGCTATTGGTTTCTTCCTCTAGTTCCCCATCACAGCATGTCATTTCTCTAACTTATCTATTCATGACCGCGCCCCCCCTGCCCACACACACACACACACACACACACACACACACACACCCCTTGCCCCACCTCTCTTGCCTTCCTCAGCAAGTTTTTCTGTTCACAAATCAGTAGTTACGCATTCAAGTTTCCTTGTTAAGGACACCTGGAGTACGATCCAGGATTCATCACTTATTCATTGGTGAATCTGGGCGAGTTACCTAACCTTCTGTGGACTCAATTTTCCCATTTGTAAAATAAGAATACTAGTCATACCCACCTCAGAAAAGAATCAAAAGCTCATGAATATAAAGTACTTAGCACGACGCCTAGTCAGTCATAAATTCCTGATTAATTTGGGCCATTATAATAAATAATGCCCTGTCAACACTAAATTTTTTGTTTAATAAATGCTTGCTTTACTTTTTTTTTTTTTTTTTTTTTTAAAGGCAAGAGTTTCACTCTTGTTGCCCAAGCTGGAGTTCAATGGCATGATCTTGGCTCACTGCAACCTTTGCCTCCCAGGTTCAAGCGATTCTCCTGTCTCAGCCTCCTGAGTAGCTGGGACTTCAGGTGTGCACCACCATGCCCAGCTAATTTTTGTAGATTTAGTAGAGATGGGGTTTCACCATGTTGGCCACGCTTGTCTCGAACCCCTTACCTCAGGTAATCTGCCCGCCGCAGCCTCCCAAAGTGCTGGGATTACAGGTGTGAGCCACCATGCCCAGCCTAATAAATGCTTGCTATACTTGTTTTTTAATTGCACTTAGAAACACCAAGAATTCGACTTAGCCTTCAGAGAGATGCAATTGCTGAGTCACTTATGTGCTTGAAGATGCCTGGCACGAGGACACTAAGGCAAGAATAGCTGCTGAGGGTAGTCCTCTTAGAGACCCTAAATTAACAGCCAGTACATAGATGAATCCTTTCAAATAGTTTTAGGTATCAATGGTAGAATTGATGCCTGATAATAAATACTGAAATACAAAAGTTGCCACCTCTAACCAAAAAAAAAAAGAAAGAAAAAAAGAAAAAATAAAAGATTAATGCTCTATCCTTGCGTGTGACAAACACTACCCAGTCCCTTGATACAGTAACCCATTACTGTTTCTTGCTTGAAATTCTACCCACTAACTCTGAGACTAACAATCTGTTCATGTCCCCAAGGGAAGGAGCAAACCCACGAGTTCTATAAATCTTAGCCCCAGACTTTTCTGACTGGCATGAGTCACAATGATGAGATTATCAGGATTTGGAGTTGCTTTATCCCAAGAAAATTAGCATAAATCATGAGAAGACGCTCTGTGGCAAATTAAATCAAATGGATACTGTATTCCAAATAAAAGACTTAAGCTTTCAAAATGACTTTAAATTGATGAAAGCTTTGGATATTAAGTTTCACCATTGCATTTGTAACAAATTAAATGCTCTTAATCAGATAGCAGTAACATTCCATTTCACAAAGAGCAGCTTGGATAATGAAAGCCATTTCTACTCCCTGTGGATGGCCCAAAGTAACAATACTCTATCATGACTACTACGAACATTTTTCCTGATCCATGTCAGGCAGCAACTTCTCTCTGTGATAAATGTACCTGGCTGTGGAATTTGAGCATTATGGCTAGGGAGCAGGGACAGGAAAGTTAAACTAACTGCCTCTCTCATGGTTTTTATTTGGTTTACACCAAACCATAATTTCCCTTCAGAGTCACTCACTTAGCTGTTTCTCAGATATCCTGATCACCCACCAAACCACTGTCTAATCCCTACTGGAAACAAAATATTACCTGCAACAAAAATAAATCAATAAAATTAGAGATCTAGACACTCAGTGAGAGAAAACATGGAAATGAAACATTCAGGACAATTTCTATAGACTCCATCTGGATTCAGAGCTCCTATTTTGTTTATGAATTTGCACAGAAAAGCCAAGTGTCATATTTTCTTCTCTGCAGTTCTTTTGACAGAGACTGCAATCTCTAACAACACTCTTAGCATTACTAAAATCTATTAAACAAGGAATATTTTTTGAGAGCTTTGGATTTAAACAATGGAATATTATGATTTTACCATAATCTATTAAATACCTACTTTGTACAAAGCATCATGTCACACAATGTAAATGGCAAATAAGACAAAACATCTGCCCTGAGAGGCTATAGAGATGACAGAGAAGGTAACACATTTATGCAAATAACAGGAAACAAAACTGAGTATGATTCAGTCTTATAAAATATGAATAGTGCAACTCTAATTGCTTATAGAGGCAGAAGTCACATCTCACTGGATCACTCAGGGAAGACAACAGAGAAGGTGCCACTTGATCCGGATCTTGAACAATGGGCAGGGCTTGGATGGACTGGCATGGTGGCTTGAGACTGGGCAAGGTTACCATGTGGTATAAACAAAGCCAGAGTATTTGGAAACTACAGAGAGAAAGTGGTTTCCCTTGATATGAATGTGGGATAAATACAGGAGTGAAAACAGAAATAACTGGAATGTGAAGCTGGAGCCAGGTTGGCAAGGGCTTTGAATGAGGTTATATGCCATTGAATGGGCAATGAGGATCTGGTTCAGTGATTGAGCAGACTCTTTGGAAAAATTCTGGCATTGATGGGAAATAATAGTTTAGTGGAAGGAAAGCCTGAAGAATGTAAGTAAAGCTGGATAGCTACTCTAATAATCTGTGCAGGAGTCAATGAGGGTTTAAACTAGAGGAAGTCTGTGTACACATGAGGAACATTTTAGATGTTTAATTCAAGCATGCATGATACTACCTAGGGGGAAGGAGAAAGAAGAATCAAGGATTATTCCAGAAAGGTGAGTCTGCAGGAATGCAAGAACAGAGAAGTCAGGAACAGCACATTTGGGAAGGAATTTGGACAGCCTGAGCAGGGGTGCTAGGAGATAAGTAGAGATCTGGACCAGCAACAGGACTGGACATGTGGAATAAGGCTTGACAGCTGAGGTCACTGGGTGAGTAAAATTGCCAGAAAAAGGGGCAGAGTTGGAAGAGTGTCTGTAAATGTCGGCACCATCCACTATTCAGGAGTACTCATCTAGAGAAACTGACGCTTTCTTATTTTAAATTACATACAATATAGAGCACTAGGATTTTGTTCATATTTGGAACTTTTAAAGGTATGGTTAAGCCTTTTTGAAACACAAGAGAAGATAAAACCCAAGCTCAAAAGCTCGGAGATCTCACCCTTTGTCAGTTCTCTGAAGTGAAGTGGCCACTTTGACGATGTTATCAAGATCCTGGCTCCTTCAAACAATGAAAAATAAATACAGGTCGGTGACAGAGGAGCTATTTTTTGAAGGAGCTAAAATTTCTCATTTGTTTTCAGTAAATAAAGTAAATAGGTGGTGTTCAGGAATTACTGAGTTTAACAGAAAGACAAAATGGTTCTGTTATGTCAGCTTATGGCACACAGAGACACGCACATCCCCCATTCTCTCTCACACACACACACACACACACACACACACACACACACACACACACTTCCCTCTGTTATTCCACCTGGGTGTTGGCTCTGCCATCTAGTGCTCACTGAAATAACTACATTTTCTCCTGAAGACTGGTATTGCCAGCTCACAGGTTCTATGTTACAAATAGGACATAGAAAACAAAATCCACTTAACTAACAAGTAAACACAGAAGTGAGTTCAAAAGGTTTTCCACCAGAGCCAAGCAGCATTAAGTATCAGATACAATTATTTTTTCCTTTTCACCCTGTAGCGGTGAAAATGTTTGTCTTCTCAGACTCTAGAATAGGTGGAAGCACCTGAGCACATAGACGGCTTGTGTATTCCAAATCAGATCAATGCCGATATCCCTGGATCATAAAAGGAACAGTTAGGAAAATTCTTATAGTAATTAAGAACTGTGGGCTGGGTGTGGTGGTTCACACCTGTAATCCCAGAACTTTGGGAGGCCAAGGAAGGAGGATCCCTTGAGGCCAGAAGTTCAAGATTAGCCTGGGCAACAGAGATCCCCCATCTCCACATACAAATTTCATTTTAAATTAACTGGGTGTGGTGGCCTGTGCCCGTAGTCCCAACTACTCAGGAGGCTAAGGCAGGAGGATCTCCTGAGCCCAGGAGTTTGAGGCTGCAGTGAGCTATGAGTTCTCTGCTGCACTGCAGCCTGGGTGACAGAGCAAGATCCTGTCCAAAAAAAGAAAGAAAAAAAGAAAAGAACTCAGCATCTCATAGACAGAGGGTTAATAAGGTTCCATGAAGAAAGGATTCTGTAGCCAAGTTGGGAAATGTAACCGACTTTTGCTGATTTGGAATACACATAAGCACACTAAAGATTCTGAAAAGTTCTGTGGCAGAAAACTCTATTTAATTGTGTTTCCTAAATGTAATGAAACACTGAACTCTTCTTTTGCAGAACATGCATTGACATCCTGTGGCACATAGAACACAGGCTGGGGAATGCCAAGAGTGGTGCCGTCAGCTCCTCGGAACAAGGGAAACATGACTTTTTCCAAAGAAAAGAATCTATGTGATGTGTCTTTTAGAATGGGACTCTTCTGAGAGTCAAACGGGGATAATATAAAAGATGAAAAGGATATAAGTTTTAAATTTCAAGATAATTTTTCAGTGATAAAAATCTTTTGACTGAAAAAATAGTTTATCACATTGATAGACCTATAAAATAGCACTGTTTAAAAACTATTTTCAAAAAAAAATATTTTTTTCCTTAAAAAAGGGAGAAAAACAAGACACATCCAGAACAAATGCTAGACTAAATAGGATGTGCAAGACAACAAGTATAAATGAGAAGTGTAAATCAGGACACCGGACATTTGGGGAATGCCACCTTACCCCCACCCAAGACATTTGGTGAATGTCCCTTTACCAAATGGCATCAATGTGCTCCTTCCTGATGCCGTAGGAGGAGTTGGACATGTCTATGTTCAGCCAACACTAGACAAAGTTTTTGTAGCACAAGTTTAACTGAACAACTCTATTTCCACCTCTTTGTTTATACATCCACACCAAGTATATGATAGACCTCAGAGCAGGTCCTGGGAATAAAGAGGTGAGCAAGCTCTCCTGCCTTTAGTGGGTTTGATCTTATCCTGTTATCTTGTTCACACCATTTTGGTAGTTTTCTTAATGGAAAGTTTGGGATAGAATTAAAAGAAACAAAATTCTGAAAGTGCCTACAAAAACATTTATTGATATTTTGGAGTCAGTTGGAAAATTGATTTTGTCTACCTTATTATTAATTGCCTTGCAGTTTTAAATGTGCTGAGAAAGCATACTTTATCATTGCTACAGTTATGTAGATATAGATAGAAATCAGTTTACCTTATATTTCTTTCAGCAGATCTGTTGGTTTCTGTATATACACCCGGTTTAGGTGGATGTATCTGCCTATATTTTCAAAGTTAAAGATTATATCAGTCAGAAAAGAAGACACTTTTTTGATAAATTTAAATTTATTTTTAAAAATTTATGTACAAAAAGATTAGTGTTTGTTGGAACCATACCTGAGATAACAAACTTAAACTCTTTGGGTTGGCAGGAACTCCAGTATAATGAGTTTGTAATTTAATCTATCTTTATTGCATATTTGTAAACCACTGGATATATCTAGACTTATAAGTTCTAAATACATTTATGTTGATTTTTTGTTCTCCATCAATAAAGCATTTTCATACTTATCTCTATTAGATAACAATATAATATTTTAAAATATTAATTTTTGTTATGGGCATCAAAGAGATTTTTTTTGTTAAAGAATTAACCCATTTGAATACTATCAAGAAATATATTTGTTAATATAAGGTGGAAAAAAAAGTCTATGTTTCAAGTACACCTACCACATTGGGAATGACCATACTAAGCTGACAGAATTAAATTTTATTATGTTAGGTTCTGGCACAATTTAAGACTTTTCTCTACTCTTTTCAAAAGTATCTGGTTGACCTACTTATACATTCCTACTTGATCTCAAGAAGCTACATTCAACTATTTTTTGTACTCCTGAGGACATGTGTTAATTACATAGGAAACACTTCCATTTCATATTCTTTCATTAAAATAATCTTGCTGTGATTAAAGTAGTCAGGATTTTAAAAAACATGCAAGTTGTCCCAATTTTATTTTTTAGATCATTGGTGGAATAAAGAAATTTGAGTAGTAAGTTCCTGTGAAATTTGGCTTCCTTTAAATTTAAAAAAGCTGGTAGTTCTAGTGATGCTGATTATAGATTAGAATGTCGGTGGTACTAAGGCCAATTAATTTTAGCCCCTTAAAAAATTCTATTCAAATTGGTATTTAATTACTCAATACTAGAAATGTTAGAGGAAAAATAATGTAAGATTAAAAAGCTTGAGAAGATATTTTTAAGAGATCATTATAACCATCATACAAACAAAAAGTTATAAATCTAATCTATATTTTAATTAGTTCAGTGAAGAAATATTCTCTTGACTCAATTAAAAAAATTATGTTCTCATCCTAAGGACAAAATTTCAAAGATACTGTGCAGTTTCACTGAACAGAAATTCAAACCTGGAGTTTTAACACCTATTGCTACATAGTCCTGCTGCCCAGTCAAAGCTTTCTAACTGAAGTTACCCTCTTAATGAAGAAAATTTCTATAATTGTGACTACTAAAAAATAGTTCTATAGTTGTGTCTTATTAAAGAATAGTTTCATAATTGTGTCTTAGATGGTGTCAAAAAAATAACCATCAAAGAGCAAAAATACAAAAGAAGCAACAGTAGGCAATCAAGCAGATCTAATGTAGTCAATCTTCATTGAGTTACCATTTTTAATCTCACAATAATAATGGAAATGTGGGGTGTACATCTCGAAAAATTGTTCAAGATATATTAAACAGTTTAAATGTAACACATGGGAAGAGTTTCAGATCTCTGGATTTGTTTCCAAGTATTAATTATAGAGTGACAGAGATTCAAAGCTGAGAAGCAAGTCTATTTTTCCTGATTCAGAGACAAGTCAATTAGAACATCTTTCAAAACTTGTGATAGTTTTGAAATAAATTACAAATCCCTTCACTAAAAAAAAAGATTAAAGAACTACCCAAAGGTATTTCTAACATAAGCAAGGATTTGAGTGGTAACACAAAGTTTCAAGAACATCTTTCATCAGAATCTGTATCTCTTAGTGGGAAACTTCACTTGGAGCAAATATGAACAAAAAATATACTTTTAATATGGTTTATATTTATATTATATATACTACAGGCCAAATACATATATGTATTTATATTTGCATATTAGGAACTAATATATAAAAAAGCCTGTGCACAAACACTTTCTGAACATGAATATTGTTCCATTTCTATCCTGAAGGCTATTTTCTTAAGACAAGTTAGCCATTAGTATTCAAAGGCAAACATAAATAAACATATGTGTTGGGAAATAAAATTAGAAAAAGTTCTACAGATGCTTCTTTAGGGAATGTGCACACAAAACATTCATGCTTTGCACACAGAGGGTCATAATCCATTTGCTTTCATTTCCCTTGAACTTCATTTTGTCAAGGAATTCTAGAGTACTAGGTCTTACCTATTATCCTGTCTCAGCTGGTTAGGAGAAGAAACAGGAGAACTGGGCTTTGGAGGTATTGGAGGGTGAACACCTGGTTCCCTTTAAAACAGAAAACAGCAGTTCATTTCCCCATGGAAACATGGCAAATTTTAGATCTATTAACTGAATGCATTTATTACCTACATAAAAGTATCCTTTGCATCTTACAACCCCCATGTGTGAGGTACCTGAAAGGTCAGAATCCATGGAGCACTAAACTTTAAAGAAGTCAAATATTTAAAAGACGTGTATTTTAAAAGTTTATTTAATCAGGTTCTTGAAAACCCTATCCTCTTTCACTATAGTTTGGACTATCCTATGTTCTTTAAATAGCTCAAAATTTTGCTAGTATATCTAGCTCTAGTCATGGCATTCAGGTCAGCAGTGCATGAGAACTGTAAATGGTCCTTGGGTATTAACATAAGCTTCTTTGGGGATTATGTCAACTATCAGGCTGCTATGGAAACAGCAAGAAAAGGCTTGAATTTCAGAGACCTCAAGGTAGCATTGATTTGAAGCTCTTAACTAAATCTGACTTAAATATTGTCAGCACAGGCCAGTTTGATGCTGACAAAGCATACATATAATCTACTGTCAGCCTAGACTTTCCAATGAAGCACCACGGCAGTCTCTGAGTTGGCAGGACTTAATGACGTAGGAACTGGAGATGGGCAATTATGTGCACATTTTGGATGGAGTCAGCACCTTACTAGGGTATGTCACTCCCATGTGTTCCCCACCACTACCACCCCAGCAGTTCTCTATTTGCCCTCAACATAAACTCTGTACCTAGTGAAAGAACCCTCTGATCCTGTGTACCCTTCTGGCTTCCGTAGCAAGGTAGGTAAGCATGTGGGTAGCAGTCAGGCTGCCTGAATTGCCAGCTGTGTGATAATGAGTTAACTTGATTCTGTTTCTTCATCTGTAATAATCCTTCTAATAGGATTGTTGGGGTATTGTCAGGACTGAATGAAATTGTGCTTTTATTCAACAAACATTTATTGGTAGCTTTCTATGTGCAAGGCTCTCTGTGAGCTGGATAATGTCCTCATTCTCAAAGGCTTTCAATATACAAATAAATATATGTCAGAAGAAGAAAAGTGCTGTGCAAATAATAATAATAATACAGAATAAGGAGATATAGACTGATGGGGTGGGAAGACTATTTTATTTAGAATGGACTGGGAAGGCCTCTCTGTCAGGTGAAATTTGAACCAAGACCTGTAGGAAGAAATAGAGTAAGCCGTGAGGCTATCTGGAGAAAAAGCATATAAATACAGCCATCATTAGCTTAGAGATGCCATTATGTTTTAAACTGGCAGAGATTACTAAGGAAGTCAGAGTAAGTAGAGACAAAAAGACGGCCAGGGGTTGGACCTTCAGGCCCTGCAATATTTAGAAGTCAAGAATATGAGATGAAAACAGCAAAAGAATCAGAAGGAGTGGCCAAGAAGGAAACAAGAGTAATAGGAGGGCGTGGTATCCCAGAAGCCAAGAGAGAAAAGTTTCAAGGAAAGAGTAATTGGCCATTTCAAATGCTGCTGTTAATCAAATAAAAACAAGGACTGGGAAGTTACCCTGGTTTGGCCAACAGAGTGGTCTTTGGTAACCCTGATAAGAGCAGTTTTGATGGAACGATGGTGGCGGGGTGGGGGGGGAAAAACAAAAACAAAACAAACAAACCATTATACGAGTGGATTTAGGGAAAAATGGGAAGCAAGGAGATAGAGGCATTGAGGCAGTTTGGCAGTAAAGAAGAAAGAGAGAAATAGGTAGCTACTTCGAGGTTGATGGATTGAGGAAGGTTACTACAGCATGTAGATAGGATGATGGGAATGATCCAGTGAATCACTGATGCAGGAGAGTGAGGGGAAATTACTAGACAGATGACTTTGAGAATTGATGGGACCTAAGGCACAGTGGAGGGGCCGATCTTAGATGGAAGTACAGAGGGCTCATTCATAGCAGCAAGAGGGAAAGAACTAGATGGGTATAGCTGGGGTATGTTCATTGACTCAGAGTGGAGAAGGTTCTCTTTTGTTTACTTCTATTTTCTCAGTAAAATAGTAATCAAGATCATTGATTCAAAGTGAGGAGGTTGAGTAGGGGTTAGGGCTGTGTGAGAAAGAAAGAGGGGTAGAAAATGTGTGAAATGGTTTTCTAGGCAAGCAGAAGAGTAAGTGGACCCAGGAAATGTAATAAGATGATGACGATGATGATGATGATGATGTACCATTATATAGGGTCATTATGTGCCAGAAACTTTTCTAAGCACTTTACGTATATTAACTAATGTAATCCTCACTGCAATCCCAGACATAAGTATTATTCTTCTTCCCATTTTACAGATTAAAACACTGAAGCACAGAACATAAAGATAAATATCTCATGATGGTGCAGCTCATAAGGGGCAGAGGTCGGAATCTAAACTGGAAAGTCTGGCTGCATAAACTCTCCACATGCTGTGCTGTCTCTTGAAGGATCCTTGGGCCATAACAATCGCTCAGCTAAGGTTAGTACTCATGGGCTTAAAATCACATTATTTGGCATTGTTTCCTCTTGCCATATTCAACTGGTTGGGGAGGAAGAACAGAATAGACTGAGAGTTGGATTTACCATTAGCCACGTTTACAATTCAGCCAAGTGAGTGCAACAAAGAGAATGATGGCAAGGGAGTGGAAGGGGTCTGCAAGGAAGGGGTTACAAATCACGTTATTTGGCATTGTTTCCTCTTGCCATATTCAACTAGTTGGGGAGGAACAAATGACTGAGAGTGGATTTATAAATCAGCATAGTGCACAAGGAATGATGGCAAGGGAGTGGAAGGGGTCTGCAAGGAAGGGGTTACAAATCACGTTATTTGGCATTGTTTCCTCTTGCCATATTCAACTAGTTGGGGAGGAGGAACAGAATAGACTGAGAGTTGGATTTACCATTAGCCACATTTACAATTCAGCCAAGTGAATGCAACAAAGAGAATGATGGCAAGGGAGTGGAAGGGGTCTGCAAGGAAGGGTTACAATGGGGGCTGTGGAGTTTGAGATGGGCATAGAGGGAAATGAGAATATGAGTGGTTGGGACTGTGAAAAAACTGGTAGAATTAATGGACTGGTGATTGTGGTGGGGCTGAGGAATTCCTGGAATCAAAGGACTGAAGAGAGTGAGCTGGACAGATAGAAAGCAGGAGCCAGAGAGGGAAAGCTTTGAAGTAGAAGTCTTGTAATTTTGTAGGGTGTGTGGTTATTTACAGGGCAAGATCTATCAATGGCTGCAGTAGTGGGAAGGACAAGATCATTGGGAAGAAGGTCACAAAAGTGAGAGATTGGGGAGGGGAAGGATGCTCTGCATGGATTTTGAAATTGCCAAGCATTGTGACAAGAGGAGGGTTTGGGAAAGATGGTGAACCTGGTGCTCAAGTATTCAAAGAATGAGCATGAGTGTCTCAGAGACCTTCAGATGACTCCAGTGAAGAAGAGAAGCTCACAAGGGCATGACTTCAAAGGAGATGGAGAGTTTCAGGGAGGCGGGAGTTAAAATTAACAGGAGGTGGTGATGAGAAGAAACCAGACCCCTCCCTTCCTCCAGACCCTGTGATAGGTCAGTTCAGAGGGAAAACAGCCCTTGCTGAGAGAGAGGCTGTGGAAGCAGGGTCCTCTGGAAGAGCACAACAAAAAGGTGGGAGATCATTCAGAGGGGAGGCTGAAGAGTGGAGGATTTTGGCAATGACAAATGACATGCTCAGCAAGGTGGAGTGGAAGGGTCTGAGAGCTCAGTGTGATATTAGGTTGGGTCAGGTTCAGGGAGGTACAGAGCTCTGTGGAGATGGTCCGGGTGATAAGAAATGACCTGACTGGGGTTTCAATGAGGGACTATGGACATAGGGATGGAGGACATGATGAAATGAGTCCTGAGACCTCTCAGCAGAGTGGTAACGAGGCTGTGGGTGATGGACAGTGGAGCACCAAGCATGGTGGGTCTCTTGGCTCTCATGTTGAAGGTGACATTGAAGCCAGAAGAGGGTGTGCATGCTTGGCTTCCACACAGGAAATAGTAAGTGTCTTTTGCTGTAGTGGTTGTTGTTTTCACCCCACATGACCCCAGAGCTGCAGATGTGACAAACTCTTACCCTTACTAACACACCCCACTATATTCTGTCCCCGCTGTGGAGCACCTCCCTCTTCCCTTTCCCTGATTCTCTCCTTGCCCTTCAGACTTTGGCTTAGGAGTAACTATCTCCAGGGATATCCAAAGCCATGCTGCGTACATCCCTACATTCCCCCATAACAACCCTATTTACAGCACATACCACGCTATTCTGGATTACACATGATATTCTGTTCCCACACTGGACTGAAAGTTCCTAAAAGGACAGCTATATCCCAAGTACTAGGATTGTGTATGACGTAAGAATGAAGGAGGAAGTGATTGGCTGTATTTCTTCGGCAGGAAGGAAATAGGTACCAAAGAGGGATTTGCAACTTTCAAAATCTGTGCAAGCTTAGCTTCCTCATAGGAGAAATCCACTGTCAATCCCATTACAGAACACCTACTAGGTGCCAGGTACTTGGCTGAGTCATTGTGCTGTGTGATATTTCTGGAAGAGCAATTTACATGTAAATAGTCTTCCCATCCTGGCTTAGGGGCAGATTCCACAGTATTTTGTTTGTATTGCTACCATCTTCTTTTCTCAGAGAATATGCCTGTGTTGGGTGTATGTATCAAGTGATCTTTAGTCTTTAGAGTCTTTAGTATATCTATGTGGATTCATTGGTTACATGCTTTCCTTCCAGAGGCAGAGGAAAGAGGGAAGGAGACTGTCAGTCCTGGGTAATAATGAGGCTGTACAGAACACTAGATGTCTGAGGACAGGCAGGAAAGAGGTAACAAGGTGGAAAGGAGGATTACAAAAAGTAGAAATGGGATGGTGCCAAACTTTACTTATGTTAGAGTCATGTTAATGACATACTCAATTTCTTCCATTTTAAAATGTCTAGGGCCTCAAAGAGGTGGGTAAATATGCATTGCGTGGATGAGGGCAGTAGAGGTGAGTAGAAATAGAT